GAGCCCCTGGGGTGCCCAGCTGGCTCTTCCCTCCCTGCCCATCCCTGCCCCGGTTCGGAGCCCTCGGCGCAGATCCCAACCCGCAGCGCGTGTGGGGGAGTTGAGCCTCGTGGGGTTTGCTGCTGGGGCAGGGTGTTGGCCCCATCACGTGGGCAGGTTCCTGTTTTTGATATTTTGCTCTGCCAGCCCAAATTCCCCGGCGCAGTCTGAGGCTGCAGATTTCTCTACTTCCCTGTGCTCTGACGTGAGGAGGCTTTATCAGAGGCAGGAAGCTGCTCGGGAGGGAGGAGTGTGCAGTGACACATGACAGCCTGGAAAAGGCACGGCTCCACATGCCTCCTTCACTTCTGCTATCCTTGGTGCTGCTGGCAAAGCAAAACATCCCAAAAAGCTGCTGGTTCTCTTCTTCCTATTCTGAAATTAGTACAGCCTTAACCCCAGTGCAGGGGGGTGTTGCTGTGGCTCCTGGTGGTTGGGAATGAGGTGGATTTGGGGATGGCTGGGACTGGTGAGTGCAGAGTTTATTGAGAAAGGTGCTGGCAGGAGGCAGGCAGCACATCCCAGGGAATGGCTGTGCCTGTTTCCCTCTGCAGAGGGAAGTGGCTGCTCAGCTCCATTGTTTCAATTCCATTGCAGGCAGCTGACAAAGGAAGCAGGAAGAGATACGAGCCAGCAGACAAAGAGAGGCCAACCTCTCCTCCAGCCAAACGGGCCAACCTGTCACCTGACAGAGGTGAGGCGTCCTCCAGCCCGGGCTCCTGCTGTCCAACAGCTGGAAAGAGCCTTTGCAGCCATCCCAAAACCTCAGAGTGGGATTGCCACCATCCTGCTGCAAAACCACAGCAGAGCTGAGGCCCTGGGCAGGCCAGTGCCAGCCTTGCCACGCTGTCTCTGGGGCACATCGTGCCCAGCGTGACTCCACTGTGTCCCTGTAAGTCCTGTCCACAAAAATAACCCACCCCTTGGCTTTGAAGACATGGAGTTCTCACCTCCACATCCACCCCAGGGCCTCCTGCTCGCTGCTGCTGGCCGTGGATGTGGCTGTGGAAAACAGGTTTAGGTTGGAAATTAGAAAAATTTTTTTCCCAGAAAGGATTGGAACAGACTGTCAGGGAGGGAGTCCCAATCCCTGGAAGTGTTCCAAAAAAATGTGTGGATGTGACACTTGGGGACAGGGTTAGTGGTGGCCATGGCAGTGCTGGGCTAAAGGTTAGAGTGGATGAGCCTGAAGATCATTTCCAAACCTCAGCCACTCCAGGATTCTGAGTCACAGGAGTTTCCTTTCGTGCATCCTGGAGTTTTCCCGGGGGAGCTGTCCCTGCCAGCCAGGCTGGTGCTTCGAAAGGCTGGGCTGGAGGGAGGGATGCAATCAATCCCTGCCAGCCTGGGCCACCAGCTGATTGCCCCACCTCTGGGTGACACAACTGCCCTGGATGTTTAGAAAGACCTGGGCTTTCCAAGTGTTCTCCTGGGCCTCGGTAACAGGACCAGCTCGGGAATCCCAGCTGGCAGCCACAGGCAGGGACCTCAGTGCCACCCTCCAGCCTTTGGCAGAGGGGGTGTGGGGGGGTGTTGGCAGCCAGAGGTGGCAGCTGGTGACGTCGGAGCTGCCACGTGAGGTTGTTTTCCCTGGTGGCTCAGCCGTAGGTGGATCTTGTTGACTCTGGGTGCCAGCCAGCCCAGATCTGTGCTAATAACCTGCAAGGTTCACCTCCTGCAAGGGCAGCCTGCAAGGGCCTGCCTGAGGCTGAAGTTCACCAGGGTCTGCCTCGCACACCAGTGACAAGGCCAGGCCAGCTCACTTCCTCGACAGACCTTGGTGTCATCCTCTGCTGTTTGTTAAAAAGCAAGTTTTGAGCCGTAGCAAACCATAGAACAGATTGGTTTGGGCTGGAAAGACCAGGGACACCTTGCAGCAGCCCAGGTTGCTCCAAGCCCCGTCCAGCCTGGCCTTGAGCACTTGCAGGGATCCAGGGGAGTGCCCCAAATCCAGTGGCAAAGGTGCCCTTGGCTGAGCTGGGACTGAGCCCCTCGTTATCCCAGCCCCAAACTGGTCAGTGGTGGTGGCTGAGTGTGTCACCTGCTCTGTGACCTGCTCCCGTGGCTGGGGCTGTCCCAGTTCCATCCTCAGGAGCAGAGGGAGGCCCTGGCGCACTCAGGGGCTGCTGCCACGCGGGGCTGGGCACCTTTGCAGGGCAGCAGCTCCACAGGCTGCCTTCAGGTGAGATTCCCTCTCTGTTCCTGGGATAACCCAACTGCTCCCAGCACCCCTGAGTGCCCAGGGCAGCTGAGCCGTGCTGAGCAAACACGGGGGTGCTGCTGCCTCGGGGGAGACCCCACTGGCTCTGACCCTGTGACCCACCAGGGCAGAGCCAGCAGCTCTGCAGGATCAAAAGGCCATGGAAGAGCCTCATTCCAGCTGGAGGGTGAAGGAGGGCTGGTGGAAGGTGCTGTGTACAGGTGACTGCAGGGCACAGCCCTGCTTGGTGTCTCTGCTCCCCCAGGGGTGCAGGGGGTATCAGTGAGGCTTTTCCAGCTGCTGCCAGGCTTGGCTTGTTGTTGGCACGATGTGGTCAGTGAGGGCAGGCAGGGGGTGGCCTGTGCCCTGGTGCCAAGCAGGAAAATGAAGGAATGTCCCTTTGCTCTCCTGCCAGGCTCTCGCGATAGGAAGGCGACCGGGAGACTCTCGTCCCCCAAACAGGAACGGCAGCGGGGCCAGAACCCAAAACCTTCCCCTGCACAGGCAGACAGGTGAGTGCTGCTGCTTCTGCTGGGCCTGCAGGGCCTGCAGCTCCTGCTCCAGCCCTGCTCCAGCCCTGCTCCAGGCTCTGCCAGGCTCTGCCAGGCTCTCCAGGCTGGCAGTGCCAGCTGCCATGGAGCACAGCACGAGGAAGGACATGCCAGGGGTGCCAGGGCTTCGTGCAGAGCCTCCAGCTGGGCCATTCCAGCTGGGAGAAGAGCAGGAGCACCAGGAGCCAAGTGGGTCAGCAGTGAGCTCAGCCAGTGCCTCTGCAGCTCGTTAGCACGGTGTTAATGAGCAGCAGAGTGCAGCTCCTTCCCCTCAGCTCCTCCTGGCACCCAGCTCCAGTGCCTGATTCCCCTTTTCCCAGCCTGGCACACCCTCAGCTGCTCCCCTTGCTGCTGTGGCATATTCAGACGTGTCCCCTGCACGGGACAGAATATCCCAGGGCAGGGCTGGATGTGTGGCTCTGGGGGCTCGAGGGTTGTGGATCCTGTCCGAGGATCTCTGAGGGCAAACGTCACAGGGAAGGGGCTGAAGGATTTGGGATTGGGGGGATGCTCCAGGGCTGTTCTCCCCTCTGGGTCTCACAGGGAGCTGCTCACTGCAGCCACGAGCTGGCACTGAGTTTAATCCTGGGAATCCCTGTGGAATGGCTGTTTTTTTACCGTTTAAGCCAGTTTTCAACCCAGAGCCTCCTCCTGTCTCCCAACCTCTTTTCTCCCAGCTGCTCCTAGAGCCATGTGGCACTTCTGGTACTTCAGTTCAACTCAGAATTTGGGGAGAAATCCCCTATGAGGGTTTGGAGGCCCTGGCACAGGATGCTCAGAGAAGCTCTGGATCCCTGGCAGTGCCCAAGGCCAGACTGGAGCAACCCATGGTAGTGAAATAAGTTAAAAGATGGAATTATGTAAGAAAGGCCCTTAAAAACCATGATTTAATGTGGCCAGTGTAAGAAAGGACCTTAAAAACCATGATTTAATGTGGTCAGCGTTTCTCAGTGCACTTTCAGATTCCCTCAGATCCTTTGGGACATTCCCAACCCCTCTCACTGCCCTTCCTTCTCTCCCTGCAGGAAACGCCAGCTCTCCCCTCAGGCCAAGAGCTCCAGCAAAGTCACGAGCGTGCCGGGCAAGGGCTCGGAGCCGGGCCCTGCTGCTGCCAAGGGTGGCAAATCCAGCACCCTGTCCCGGCGGGAGGAGCTCCTGAAGCAGCTGAAGGCGGTGGAAGACGCCATCGCCCGCAAACGGGCCAAAATCCCGGGAAAAGTATAGTGGGCCGTGCCCCGGAGTGACTGTTGATGTTTTTATAAATAGTGGGAAAAGCGGCCGCTTCGGGATTTTGCAGTTCCTCGTCTTCATTTTGGCCGCGGTTCTTTTTAAGAAAAAAAACAAAAAAAAAAAAACCAAACCCATCCACACACACACACAAACACACAAACACAAAGAAAGAAAATTAAGGAAGTTTTTGTCCAGTCAGGAAAAGTGATGAGCGGCTCCGGGAGGGCTCCGGGGCCGTGTGGGTTCTGCACAGGGACTCCACCCCGGGGATGCTCCCAGCCTCCTGTGCCCCCTCTCCTCTTTGCTAGCCTCGAGTTGTATTCTCCTAGTTAGCCCTGCTGTGTGTTGAGTGTCTTCAGCGATGCAGTTCTAGTCCCGTGTGCCGAGAGAGCCGAAAACTGCTGTGAACTGCTGGCAGCACCCTCCTCCCCCAGGAAAAATATATATATATATATTCCTGCCTCAGTCCCTCGGGAGTGCCCTGGCGTTTCTTTGGAGCGGGGGATCGGTTCGGTTGATTGCCCAGGAGCCCTGCAGGTGTTGTGGGCGTGTCTGTCTGCCAGGAGGGTCCTTCTTCCTTTGGTTTTCCTTTTTTTTTTTTTTGTTTTGTTTTGTTTAGGTTTCTCTTTTTTCTTTTTCTTTTTTTTCTTTTTTTTTTCTTTTTCTTTTTTTTTTTTTTTTTTTTTGGAGGGATCTCCCTGAAATAAAATATTTTGATAACCAATTTTCTGCTCTTGTCTGCATCTCCCTTGCCTTGGTGGGGGCGGAGGGGAGGGGGTATGTACCCCTCATTTTGGGGGTTTTTGGGGCAGGAGCAGCTCTGTGGAGCTGGAAAAGCTGCTCTGTTTCCTGGGGGAGCACCGGTGTGACACCAGTGTCCCACTGCTGTGTGTGACTGGGGGGCTCTGCCCTTCCTGGCATCAGGGATAAATCCCCCTAATTTAGGGAGCAGTGCTGGAAATCCCAATGGATTTCCCAGTATGGAACCAGTATCCTACTGGTGTGAAGTGTTAGTGGGGGGCATCGTCTGGGGTAACTCTGCCAGGTCCCTTTCACTCAGAGAACAATTCTTGGGGTCTCTGGGATTTCCCATCCCGTGGCATTTCCCATCCTCTGGAATTTCCCATCCTCTGGAATTTCCCATCCTCCAGCCCCACTCCTCATCCCCACCACAAAACCAGTATCCCACTGGTGCTGCTGGGAGGAGGCCGCCGGTCCATCCCGGAGTGCTGATGGCAGCCCTTGAGCCCTTCCCAGGGTTGCCCAATTTGGGATTTCTGCCCGGGAATGCCACGGTGATCTCACGGGCACCGGTGGCGCAACAGGGCGCGCAGCCCGGGGGATGCCCGTGGCACCGGGACACCCCTTCCCACGTCCCTCGCTGCCGGAATTCTGGAGCTCCGAGGCTCCGGTGCTGCCGGTGGCACACGTGGAGGAGCGCAGAAGGAAGTGGCGGCCGGCGGGGAGGAGGAAGGAACCTGGAGCTGGAGTTTCCAGGTGTGTGCACATCACCTGCCCGGCCCTATAAAAGGCGGCGGCGGCGGCGGCGCTGCCACTCGGCCGCTCATCCCCGGGCTGCGCTTCCCGAGGGGTCCCCCAAATTTGGGATTGTTCTTCCTCAAATTTGGGAGTGTTCTTCCCCAAATTTGGCCGTGTTCCCCACCCCAAATTTGGCCGTGTTCCCCACCCCCTCCACCAAAATTTTGGCGTGGTCCCTCAACACCTGGCTGATGGTAACGTGGGGTTTGGGGGGCTGGGGGATGTGGGTGAGGGGAGGAGATGTGGGGCTGGGGGTGTGTGTGTGTGTGTGTGGTGTGTGTGTGTGTGTGATGTGTGGGGTTCTCTGGGTGTTCACACTCATTTTATGTGTGTGTTACACACCATGTGTGTATTTTCTGTGTGTGTGTGATGTGTGGGGTTCTCTGGGTATTTACACACATTTTATGTGTGTGTTACACACCATGTGTGTATTTTATGTGTGTGTGTGATGTGTGGGGCTCTCTGGGTGTTCACACACATATTATGTGTGTTACACACCCTGTGTGTATTTTGTGTGTGTGTTACACACCCTGTGCACAGCTCTGAGTGTGTGTGTGTGATGTGTGTGTTCATTACATGTGTTACCTGTCATGTGTGGGGTTCTCTGGGTGTTTGCTGAGTGTGTTACACACCCTGTGTATATTTTACGTGTGTGTTACACACCATGTGTATATCTGTGTGCATGTATTTTATGTGTGTGTTACACACCCTGTGCACAGCTCTGTGTATTTTATGTGTTACACACCATGTGTGTATTTTATGTGTGTGTATTTTTATGAGTATTTCATGTGTGTGCATTTTATGTGTTACACACCATGTGTGTATTTTATGTGTGTGCATTTTCTCTGTGTGTATTTTATGTGTATTTTATGTGTGTGCATTTTCTGCGTGTGTATTTTATGTGTATTTTATGTGTGTGCATTTTCTCTGTGTGTATTTTATGTGTATTTTCTGTGTGTGTGTATTTTCTGCATGTGCATTTTCTGTGTGTGTATTTTATGTGTATTTTATGTGTGCATTTTCTGTGTGTGTATTTAATGTGTATTTTATGTGTGTATTTTCTGCGTGTGTATTTTCTGTGTGTGTATTTTCTGTGTGTATTTTCTGTGTGTGTCCGTGTGCCCGTGTGTGCACCCCTGGCACATGTGGGAGGGTTTTACACACCCACACCTGGCTGAGGGCAGCTCAGGGGTGGGCACAGCTGTGCCAGTGCTTTATATGTATAAATCCATCTAAACACATGTATTTATATGTGCTTATGGATATTTATATTTATTTCCATGTCAGTGATGTGTGTGTTTATCTGTATTTATCTGTATTTATCTACATTTATATATCTTTATTTCCATGTCAGTGCTGTGTGTGTGAGTGTGCACTGCTGCTCTGTGCTCTGTTTATATGTATTTTTAATACATTTCTATATCATTTGATCTCTATTTATAAGTGTTTCTATGTATTTCTTATTTATATTCCATTTTATCTTATTTATATTCCATTTTATCTTATTTAAATTCCATTTTATGTTCTTTTTATTTGTAATTTTAATTTCCTATTTTATTTTTATTTTCTATGTGTATTTATACTCTCTATTTCTTTGCTTTATCCTTTTTTTTTAATTATCTACCTTGTCTTTAAATTATCTCTTCCTTTATATATTTCTTTATATATAATATTTTATATATTATTCTATATATGTTCCTTTATATACTTCTTTACAGTTATCTTTATTTTATATACTTACATTTAAAAATATTTACGTATAAAATATATACTATATATTTATATTTGTTTCTAATTTATTTTGTTTATTATTTACCTTTACTTTTATTTATTTATTTAATACTTTTTCTTTTTCTTTCCATTATTTTTTTTAATTCCAGGGGTTGTTTATCCTTCATGTAATGTTTCCTTCCCACCCAGGCAGGGAATATCTCTATGTATCTATAGATATATAGGCAGGAGATATCTATAGAAATAGGTACATATGTGTTACATAAACATAAAATATATAATTAGACATAAAACTATATATAAACATATATACGTGTACATATAAATAGATATAATATGTATTTATATGCAGATATGTATACTGAGCTATAAATACATATAAAAATATATTGTTTTAAAATATATAAATAAATTTTAAAACTGTACACGCATATATTAGGTAAATGTATATATGTGTACTGTGCTTTATAGTCATAATATGCACATATACATATACAATATATCATATGTATACACCAAATAATATATATTATCATATATGTGTATATATATCCAATATATAATATATAATATTTAATTTTAACATATTATATAAAATACAAAAGTATATATATTATATATATAATAAAATATTTTATACATATAAAATATATAATGTACCATTTAATATACATTCAATTATAATGTATATTAAATTGTATGTATTATAGATTGTGTATATTGTGTATACACTATGTAGATTTTATGATATATATGTTGTGTATATTATATTTAATACACCATTATATAGTCCATATAGTATATATATTATATATATAATATATATATAATATTATATATTATATATATTCTACATTATATAATATACATTAGGCTGGGGGTCCATAGGTGTGTTCTGGCCCTCTCTGCCTGTATATCCATAATGTATAAATATATAAATTATATTCTGTGTACAGGCTGTCCCTGTGTATGTACAGCTCCTTTTGTGTGTGTATAAATTTTTCTGTGTTTCTGTATACACATATAAATACATATAAAAATATATCTATTAAAAATATCTCTATATCTGTATCTATCATTGTATCTCTATATCTCTATATCTCTATATCTATCTATCCATCTATACATATCTCTTTTTCTGTGTGCACATGGGTGTACATGTGTGATATTTTTGTGTGTGTGTATTTATATTTTATATTTTATTTATATAAATATAAATATATATTTTTCTAAATATATATATATATTTATATTTATAAAGAAATATATTTATAAATATAAATATCTTTTACTATAACTATATATTTTTTTATATTTTGTGTGCACGCGTGTGTGTGTGTTTTATTTATATATATCTCTGTGTGTGTGTACTTATTTATTTTTATCTATATTTCTGCGTGTTTATGCCTGCAGATGTTGCTGTGTGTGTACAGTGTGTGTGTGTGCAAATTGAGTGTACCGAAGCATGTCTGCATATAAATATATATAAATAAACATATAGATAGGTGCAGATAGAAAGATGATATAGATATAGATATAGATATAGATATAGATATAGATATAGATATAGATATAGATATAGATATAGATATAGATATAGATATAGATATAGATATATACAGATAGATATAGATAGAAATAGATAAATGACTGATAGATATAGATAGAAATATAAATAGATATAGATAAATACAGATACAAATATAAATAGATAGATACAGATAAAAATAGAAATATATAGATATATGTAGATGGAAATAGATATAGATAGATATAGATACAGATAGATATAGATATATGATAGATGTAGATAAAAATATAAATAGATATAGATAGAAATAGATAAAAATAAAAATGGATATAGATATATTGAGATAAAAATAGAAATATATAGATAGAAATAGATATAGATGGATCTAGATACAGATATAGATAGAAATATAGATATAGAAATATAGATATATAGAAATAGATATAGATACAGATAGCTAGAAATAGATATATAGATATCTTTGATACATAGATATAAATATACAGCTATATAGTTATGGATATATAGCCATGGAGAGACAGATATATAAATATCTAGCCAGGGACATGCAGCAATACAGAGATGATCGAGAGATATCTACATGCTGATAAAAATGTGTAGATACTCTGTAGGCATGGAGATATATAGACATTTATAGATATAGAGTTTATACCCATAGGGAAATCGAAAATTAGGAATCGATAGATAGATAGATAGATAGATAGATAGATAGATAGATAGATAGATAGATAGATAGATATAGATATAGATGATATAGATATAGATATAGATATAGATATAGATATAGATATATATAGATAGATATAGATATAGATATAGATATAGATACAGATATAGATATAGATATAGATATAGATATAGATATAGATATAGATATAGATATAGATATAGATAGATAGAGATAGAGATAGAGATAGAGATAGAGATAGATAGATAGATAGATAGATAGATAGATATAGATAGATAGATAGATATAGATATAGATATAGATATAGATATAGATATAGATAGATAGATAGATAGATAGATAGATAGATAGATAGATAGATAGACAGATAAAAGACAGATAACAGATAAATACACAGACACACAACTGCCCAGGCCCTGCAGTGTCCCTGTCACTGAGCTGTGTGTGCCTGTCCCTTTGGGTGTCCCTGTCCCTGTCCTGTGTGTGCCTGTCCCCTCCATGTCCCTGTCCCTGTCCTGTGTGTCCCTGTCACCGTGCTGTCCCCGCAGGGCTGGCTGGCCGCCCTGGCTGTGTGTGTCTGTCCCTTTGGGTGTCCCTGTCACCGTGCTGTCCCCGCAGGGCTGGCTGCCCTGGCTGTGTGTGTTTGTCCCTTTGGGTGTCCCTGTCCCTGTCACCGTGCTGTCCCCGCAGGGCTGGCTGGCCTGGCTGTGTGTGCCTGTCCCCTCCATGTCCCTGTCACCGTGCTGTCCCCGCAGGGCTGGCTGGCCTGGCTGTGTGTGCCTGTCCCCTCCATGTCCCTGTCACCGTGCTGTCCCCGCAGGGCTGGCTGGCCGCCCTGGCCGTGCTGGCGGCGCTGGGGCACTGTCGGGGGCTGCGGCGCTCCGGGGCCGGTTCGGGGCTCTCCGCCGTGCGCTGCTTCAGCGGGGCCGAGCTGGAGGACGAAGCCCCGGCTCATCTGCTGGGCCGCAGCCTCCGCTGGGACCGGCACGTCCCGGTGCAGCTGGTGCCACAGCTGGAGCGGCTGGAGAGCACCGGGACCCGCCGGCCGCGGCGGCAGCGCCCTCCCGGTTGCCCGGAGCTGTCGGTGCGCACCGGGCTCCGCGGTGAGCCCCACGAGCGCTCCATCTCCCCGTGGCGCTACCGGTGAGTGCCACCCCTCCCATCCCTCCCCGGGCCGTGCCAGCCGCTCACAGCTGGAAATTGTCACCGTGTCCCCCCCGCAGCATCGACGAGGACGAGAACCGCTATCCCCGCAAGCTGGCCTTCGCCGAGTGCCTGTGCGGCGGCTGCGTGGATGTGAAAACCGGCCGGGAGACGACGTCGCTGAACTCGGTGGCCATCCACCAGACCATGCTGGTGCTGCGGCGCAAGCCGTGCCCAGCGGGGCCGGGGCTGGTGGCGCTGGAGGTGGATTATATCCGAGTGCCCGTGGGCTGTACCTGCGTCCTGCCCCGCACGGCGCGCTGAGCCCGCACCGGGCACCGCGCACCCCGCCCGTGCTTGTTTTAGAGCACCCGACCCCGCCAGGGTGGTCCTTGCCCTGGTTATTTATCAGTTATTTATCAGCCTCGCTGCCGGGGGGCTTTTTGTACCCGTTATTTATTGCTGACCCCCACCACACCCACCCCCAGCCATGTCAGCGCCCCACGGCCAGACCCTGTGAGTGTTGCACTCACTGGTTATTTATTCACCCAAAAAAGGTATTTATTGTCTCCTTCCTAGTGCTGTTTAATGCTGCCAATAAAAGCTAACAGCTCCTGGCACAGTCCTCGCTCTGCTCCCGGGGCATTGGGATGTTGGGAATTGGGGCACATCCCTGGGCAATGCCCGGCGCTGGGACACCCCTCAGGGTGGGCAGAGCACCAGTGCAGCAGGGCAGGATGAACTGGGAGGTGATGGGGAGGGCAGCAGGGCACGGGGGTGCCCCACAACACCCCCAGCCCCGGGGGGGACCCAGCCCTGGCACCCCGACACCCACACCTTTCCCACGGAGCTGGTGCCACCTGCCAGGGTGCTGGCAGCACCTCGGGGGCCTCTGGGCCACCTGCAGCCCCTGAGGGGCCTGGAGCACTACCTGGAGCAGCTGCTGATCCCAGTGGGATCAAGGATTTGGGATTTGGCACCCACATCGCACCGGAGAACGTGCAGCACCCACGTGTGGGACTGGGAAGGGAAATGCTCCCCACATTCCCTGCTGGGGTTACCCCCGGTTTTGGGGGCTCCTTTGGGACTCCCTGTGCACCCCCAGTGCAGGGCCCCCCCCCATTCCACCCCACTGTGGCTCCATAAGGATTTTGGGAGGGGACCCTGCCGTGGCCATACTCTGCACACCGACATCCTGGATTTACCCACAACTGCACCGTTTGTCCCCAAAACACCTCCCCAGTCCTGTCCCAGCCCCCCAGGAGCAGGGCAGGACTGGGAGGGTTCCCCTGGAGCAGGAGGCAGGGGCAGCCACTGCCTTTCCCACTTTTTATTGCAACAGCAACTGCAGAAAGGACAAAAACCAAGGAGAGCGGGAGCAGAGCTGCCTGATCCCCCCGGGAGCTGGGGATTCCCTGAAAGCTGGAGTTCCACAGGGATTTGGGGATCCCCCAGGGAACTGGGGGTGCCCGGGGAGTTGGGACCCTCAGGGAGCTGAGCATGCCCAGGGATCCAGAGTTTCCCAGGAACTGGAGACTCACAGGGAGCTGAGACTCCCCAAGGATTTGGGGGATCCTTAGGGAAGGCCTTGGGGGCTGCAGATCCCACAGGAAGCTGAAGATTCTTAGGGATTTGGGGAGGTCCAGGAGCTGGGGAGTTCCTGGGAGCTGGAGACCCCACTGGGAGTTGAGCAGGCCCAGGGATTTGGGAATCTCCTGAAACTGGGAAGCCCCCGAGGGCTGGAAACCCCACAAGGAGCATCCCATCACTGGGAATTTGGGAGCTGAGCTTCTTAAGGGATCTGGGGATCTGTGGGAGACGGAGATCCTACAGGGAGCTGAGCATTGCTGGGGATCTGGAGATGCCCAGGAGCTGGGGACCCCAGATTTGGGAATTTGGGGGAGCCCAGGGGGAACTGATGATCCCACAGATCTGAGCATCACCAGGAGTGGGGGACCCCCAGCAGGAGCTCAGCACCCCCAGGGATTTGGGGATCCCCAGGAGCAGCTGGGAAGCAGGAGCAGGAGCAGCGGGGCAGGAGGACCCCCCATTATTCCACCTCCACAGGGATGGGGTTCACCTGCCCCCCCACCTCCGGCTGCTTCCTGCGGGCGTCGGGGGGTGGTCGGGGCGGGGGGTTGCTGGGGGGCTGCTTGATGGTGCCCCCCACTTGTGGCCGCTCCCGGGGCTTCTGCTCGATGGGTCTCCACTCCTCCCCTCGGACTGCAGCCTGTGGGATGGGGAATACCCCCATGGAACAACCCCCACCCCAAAAAGGGGCTGTTAGGGGCAGGGAAAGCGCAGCTGGGAGCAGAGTGGGGAAGGAAGATGGGAGATGTGACCCCCCTGTTCACCCCGATGGGGATGGGGTGTTGCTGCAGCCCAGCCTGGGAATGCTTCTGGAATTCACATGGAAGCTCTGGGCCGTGGGTTTTGGGGTGCCCCACAAAGCCCCTCTGCACTCACCAGCAGGTAGATGCCGCTGGCGATGCCCAGGCAGACGGTGCCCAGGATGGTGGAGAGGAGGAATCCGGCAGGCACAGCCAGGCTGGGACAGAGATTTGGGGTTCAGAGAGAGCTGGGGGGGCCCCCAGCCCCACTCCTGACCCTGCACCCCACTCACACGGCGTGAAGGACGGCTCGGATGTAATAATTCCTGGTGAGGGGCCCCAGCAGCTTCACCACGGCTGTCAGGTACTTCTGACCACTGTGGGGTGACAGCGCGGGGTCACTGGGGGTGTCCCACCTCGAGAGACCCCCATCTCTGCAAGGAGGAACCCCCACCCGTGGGATCCAGCTCTGCTCCCACAGCCCGGAGTTTGGGGGTCCCAGGGGGGCTCGGCACTCACCACCTCTCCATGGTGGAGCCCTTTTTCCGTTTGCTCCTGGGGTACTCGAGCAGGCAGACCAGAACCCCCGCCGCGCTGCCAGCCGGGCGTCAAGGAAAGGGGGCATGGACCGGGAACAGCCCGCACCCCGAAAAAAGGGGATGTGCACCCCGAAAAACGGGATGTGCACCCCAAAAAACGGGACGTGCATCCCAAAAAATGGGATGTGCATCCCAAAAAAACGGGATGTGCACCCCGAAAAAAAAGGGATGTGCATCCCAAAAAAACAGGATGTGCGTCCCAAGAAAACGGGATGTGCACCCCAAAAAAACGGGATGTGCGTCCCGAAAAAACGGGACGTGCACCCCGAAAAACGGGATGTGCACCCCGAAAAAACGGGATGTGCATCCCAAAAAGACGAGATGTGCACCCCAAAAAACGGGATGTGCATCCCAAAAAAACGGGATGGGCATCCCAAAAAACCGGATGTGCACCCCGAAAAAACGGGATGTGCATCCCAAAAAAACGGGATGTGCATCCCAAAAAATGGGATGTGCATCCCAAAAAACGGGATGTGCACCCCAAAAAAACGAGATGTGCATCCCAAAAAAACGGGACGTGCATCCCAAAAAAACTGGGACGTGCATCCCAAAAAAACTGGGACGTGCATCCCAAAAAACGGGATGTGCACCCCGAAAAAACGAGATGTGCATCCCAAAAAACGGGATGTGTATCCCAAAAAACCGGGATGTGCGGGGCGAGGTAAGGATGTGGGATATGGGATGTGGGATGTGGGATGGGGGATGTGGGATGGGGGATGTGGGATGGGGGATGTGGGATGTGGGATGGGGGATGTGGGATGTGGGATTTGGGATGTGGGATGTGGGATGTGGGATGCGGGATGCGGGGTGTGGGGTGTGGGATGGGGGATGTGGGATGTGGGATGTGGGATTTGGGATGTGGGATGTGGGATGTGGGATGTGGGGTGTGGGGTGTGGGGTGTGGGGTGTGGGGTGTGGGATGTGGGGTGTGGGGTGTGGGATGTGGGCCCTCCCCAGGACAGGGATCCCCGCAGCCCAGCCCCGGGAATGAAGGATACATGGAATAGGCCGCGAAGTACCAGCCCTGGAACTGCCCCGCCACCGCCACGATCCCGCCGGTCAGCAGGACTGCGGGAACACCGGCGTGGAGGGGCCGCTCCGGGACACCCGGCACAACCCGGGCACAACACCCGAACCGGGATACAAACCCACAAAACCGGGATACAAACCCCAAAACCGGGATACAACCCCCGAACCGGGATACAAACCCCCAAAACCGGGACACAACCCCCGAACCGGGATACAAACCCCCAAAACCGGGTCACAACCCCCCAAAAGTGGGACACAACCCCCCAAAAGTGAATACAACCCCCAAACAGGGATACAAACCCCCAAAACCGGGACACAACCCCCCCCCAAACCGGGACACAATCCCCCAAAACCGGGACACAACCCCCCCCCAAACCGGGACACAATCCCCCAAAACCGGGACACAACCCCCAAACAGGGATACAAACCCCCAAAACTGGATACAACCTCCCAAAAGCAGATACAACCCCAAACAGGGATACAAACCCCCAAAACCAGGATACAACCCCCGAACCGGGACACAACCCCTAAAACCGGGATACAAACCCCAAAACCGGGATACAACCCCCCCAAAACTGGATACAACCTCCCAAAAGTAGATACAACCCCAAAACCGGGATACAAACCCACAAAACCGGGACACAACCCCCCAAAAGTGGATACAACCCCCCCAAAACAGGAACACAACCCCCCTAACCCGGGACACAACCCTCAAACTGGCACACAAACCCCCCCAAACTGGCTACAACCCCCAAACACGGGACACAACCCCCCAGAGCCGCGGATTCAGCCCCGAGCTGAGGCCCCCCAAACTCGGGACCCCCGGATCCCGGGAAGGGCACCGGGGCTCGCGGGGTGCCGGGGGGATGCTGAGGGGAACCCCAGAAAAATCTGGGGGGGATTTTTGGCCTCGCGGCCGGAGGAGGAGAGAACGGAACCGAGGAAGAGAAAAGGCAGAGGAGGAAGAGAAAAGGAGGAAGCGGAGGCTCCGGGACTTCCCGGCTGTCCCCGGTGCCTCCCGCCCGCACCCCCAGCCCGGTGGGACCGGGACCCCCACCCCCCCCACCCCAAAAATCGGGTCCCCAAAAACCCCCCGGGCCCCCCGCACTCACTGAGCCCGGCGGCGAGCGCCTGCTCGTTCGCCCACATGGCCCACTCGATCTGCCCCATGGCCGGTCCGAACGGGCTCGGTACTCCCGGTTCCGCTCGGGTTCGGTACTCCCGGTCCCGCTCGGTTCGGTACTCCCGGTTCCGCTCGGGTTCGGTACTAGCGGGTCGGTAATCCCGGTTCCGCTCGGTTCGGTACTCCCGGTTCTGCTCGGCTCGGTCCGAACGGGTTCGGTACTCCCGGTTCCGCTCGGTTCGGTACTCCCGGTTCCCCTCGGCTCGGTACTCCCGGTTCCGCTCGGCTCGGTCCGAACGGGTTCGGTACTCCCGGTTCCGCTCGGCTCGGTACTCCCGGTTCCGCTCGGTTCGGCCCGAGCGGGTTCGGTACTCCCGGTTCCGCTCGGTTCGGTACTCCCGGTTTCGCTCGGCTCGGTCCCAGCGGGTTCGGTACTCCCGGTTCTGCTCCGCTCGGCCCGAGCAGGTTCGGTACTCCCGGTTCCGCTCGGCTCGGTTCCGCTCGGTTCGGAACCAGCGGGTTCGGTACTCCCGGTTCCGCTCGGCTCGGTACTCCCGGTTCCGCTCCGCTCGGCCCGAGCAGGTTCGGTAATCCCGGTTCCGCTCGGCTCGGTCCCAGCGGGTTCGGTACTCCCGGTTCCACTCGGCTCGGTCCCAACGGGTTCGGTACTCCCGGTTCCACTCGGCTCGGTCCCAGCGGGTTCGGTACTCCCGGTTCCGCTCGGTTCGGCCCGAGCGCTTTCGGCTGCTCGCGGCCCAGTCCGGTTTGGCTCAGCCCGGTTCTGCTCGGCTCGTATCCGGCCCGCTCCGCTCTGCTTTCCCCGCTGGGCCCGGCTGTCCCGGCCCCGCTGGGCCCGGCTGTCCCGGTCCGGTTCGGCTCCGCCCGCCCGGTCCCGACCCGGAAGGCGGACGCGGCGCTACTCCCGCAGGCCACGCCCCCTTCGCGCTAACCACGCCCCTTTTCGTACACCACGCCCACTTGTGGTAACCACGCCCATTTCGCACAGGCCACGCCCACGCGGGGACACGGCACCGAGCCGGGGTCACGGCGGGGTCACGGGGGGACAGGGATGGCCCGGGGGGACAGGGCCACTCCCGGGGGACACCGGGGTCACACGGGGACAGGGATGGCCCGGGGGGACAGGGCCACCCCCGGGGACACCGGGACAGGGGGGGACAGGAATGGCCCGGAGGGACAGGGCCACCCCCGGGGACACCGGGACACAGGGGGGACAGGGATGGCCTGGAGGGACAGGGCCACCCCCGGGGACACCGGGGTCACACGGGGGGACAGGGAGGGACAGGGCCACCCCCGGGGACACCGGGACACAGGGGGGACAAGAATGGCCCGGAGGGACACGGCCACCCCCGGGGACACCGGGGTCACACGGGGACAGGGCCACCCCCGGGGACACCGGGACACGGGGGGACAGGAATGGCCTGGAGGGACAGGGCCACCCCCAGGGACACCGGGACACAGGGGGGACAGGGATCCCGGGGACATGGGGGCCGTGCAGGGGGACAGGGTCGGTCCCAGCAGCAGGGACATCGGAGCGATGGAGACAGGGCCAGTCTTGCAAGGGACAGGGAGGGGACAGGGGATGTGGCACTTGCAGGGACAGGATCAGTGACAACGGTACAAGAGATGCCCCAAAAGGGACACAGGGGTCAGCCCCAGGGACTGTCCCCATCTCCTGTCCCCCATTTTGGCCGGCGCTGTTCCCCCCAGCCCCACACACAGATCCCGAGAGCCCAAACCAGCACTGGAACAGGAATCCTCTATTTCCTTCCAGAAGATTAAAAAGCAGCCCCGGGGTCACATCCTGCCCCAGGGCTGGGGACAGCTTTGCAGCAGGCCCGGGGCAGGTCCTGAGGTCTGCTGGTGGCACCGGCAGAGTCCCCCCGGTGTGTCCCAGAGTGTCACCAGGGTCAGGCACGGCTCCGGGGCAGCCCATCCGCGCCCAGGAGGTGCTGGCTGGGGTCATCCACCAGCTGGGGACCAGGGCCAGGCTGTGGGGCAGGACACGGGTCAGGGACCTGCTGCGGGTGGGGGGCAGCTCTGTGCCCCACAAATCCCAAAAGGTCACCCCATGGATCGTGACAGGGGGAATATGTCCAGAAATGGGGTCCCACACACCCACCTGGGGATGGGGACAGGGTTGGGGTCCCACATACCCACCTGGGGATGGGGATAGGACCCTACACACCCACCTGGGGCTGGGGACAGGTTTGGGGTCCCACACACCCACCTGGGGATGGGGACAGAGCCCTACGCACCCACCTGGGGATGGGGACAGGGTTGGGGTCCCACATACCCACCTGGGGATGGGGACAAGGCCCTGCACCCTGCCCTGGGGATGGGGACAGGGCCCGGGAATTGAGACAGGGATGTGGTCCTGGACCCCCCCGGACCCCCCCTGGGCACAGCAGTGGGGTCCCACCACCCTTCTGGGGGCAGGGATGGGCTCAGAGCCTCCCGCAGAGGCCGTGTCCCCCCGGTCCCCGTCCCCAGCCCCCGTCCCTCACCTTGGTGTGCAGGATGTACCGGACAGCCCCGGGCAGGGGCTCGGCGAGCACGGCAGCCAGCAGCTCCTGCGGCAGCGCAGCTGAACCCACGGGCAGCCCCCGCACAAACCTGCGGCACGGGGGGCAGCGCTCAGTCCCCGCGGTGTCCCCAGCACCCCCACCCTCCCCAGCCAGGAGCGGGGGTCCCTTACTGGTCCCCGTTGGCGGCGGGGGGGAAGCTGCGCCTCACCACCTCCACGAACTCGGCCACGGCGTCGGCCAGCGCGAAGATGACGGCGTTGGGGCCGGCGTCGAAGGTGTAGGCGACCTGAGGTGGCATCGAGGGGACGTGGGGACCCGGGGCAGGGTCACAGTGCTGGGGCAGCCTCCCTGGGACCCCGTGGGTACCTTGGTGTGGCCGTGGTGGGCGTTGTAGCGGTGCACCAGCGCGATGATGTGGCGCGACACGTCCGTCAGGTAGAAGATGGGCGGGAAGGTGTCCAGGCAGGTGGCGTGGAACTGGTTGCTGTCCCTCATGGCCAGCTGGCCAAAGCCCTCAAAGTCCCGCTCCTGGATGTGCTGCATCATCTGGGCCAAACGCTCGGGGACCACCACCTCTGCCCGGTGCTGTCACGGCAGGGGGGTCACCGTCGGCACACAGCGGTGACACCCCAAGAAGGAAGGTTGTGGCCACCCCAATTTAGTGACACCCATGGCAGGAGGGTCACGGTCACCCCAAATCACCCCAGTTTAGTGGCACCCATGGCAGGAGGGTCACGGTCACCCCAAATCACCCCAGTTTAGTGGCACCCATGGCAGGAGGGTCACGGTCACCCCAAATCAGTGACAACCCCAGCAGGAAGGTTGTGGCCACCCCAATTTAGTGACACCCATGGCAGGAGGGTCACGGTCACCCCAAATCAGTGGCAACACCAGCAGGAAGGTTGTGGCCACCCCAGTTTAGTGGCACCCATGGCAGGAGGGTCGTGGTCACCCCAAATCTCCCCAGTTTAGTGACACCCATGGCAGGAGGGTCACTGTCACCCCAAATCTCCCCAGTTTAGTGACACCCATGGCAGGAGGGTCACGGTCACCCCAAATCAGTGACAACCCCAGCAGGAAGGTTGTGGCCACCCCAGTTTAGTGACACCCACGGCAGGAGGGTCACGGTCACCCCAAATCAGTGACAACTCCACCAGGCAGGTTGTGGCCACCCCAGTTTAGTGACATTCACAACAGGTGGGTGGTGGTCACCCCAAATCTGGGGATACCCACAGCAGGAAGGTCACTGTACCCCCAGTTTGGTGACACCCACAGCAGCATGACCCTCTGGGGGTCACTGCACCCCGTCCAGCCCCATTCCAAGGGAAAGGGGACGAGTCCCATGTCCCCCTACCTTCAGCAGGGGACTGGTCTCCACGCTGGTCTGCATGCCCGCCGTGCTGCCCACCGGCTTCTTCTCCCCACTGACCTGGGGGGGCACAGCCACTGGGACACGGCCCCTGCTGAGCCCCCCGAGTCCCAGATCCCCCCCAAATCCCCTGCCAGCCCCTCACCACCAGGACGAGGACGCGGAGCTCCGGCCAGTGCGTCTCAGGGGCCACCTGCAGGGCCAGGCTGTCGGTGCCATCGGGGCGCTCCCCGCGCTGCCACTGCACGAAGCCACCGAACATGCTGCGACAGGCACTGCCCGAGCCCCGCCGGGCCACCTCGGACAGCTCCTCCTCCAGCCCATAGAGCCGGGCCAGCGCCGACACTGCGGGGACAGGGACAGCCCCGTCACCCTCCTGCTGCTGCCACAGAGCCGGGCCAGCGCTGGCACTGAAGGGACAGGGACAGCCCCGTCACCCTCCTGCTGCTGCCACAGAGCCAGGCCAGCGCTGGCACTGAGGGGACAGACAGAGGGGACAGCCCCATCACCCCTCATGGTGCTATCTAAGAGCTGGACCAGTGCTGGCACTGAGGGGACAGGGACAGCCCTGTCACCCTCCTGCTGCTGCCACACAGCTGGGCCAGCACTGGCACTGAGGGGACAGCCCTGTCACCCTTCCCAGTGCCACCACAGAGCTGGGCCACTGCTGACACTGCAGGGACAGGGACAGCCCTGTCACCCCTCCTGCTGCAACCACATAGCTGAGCCAGCACTGAGAGAGGTGACAAGGCTGTCCTCTCTCCCAGTGCCACCACAGAGCTGGGCCAGCGCTGGCACTGAGGGGACAACCTTGTCACCTCTCCCAGTGCCACCACAGAGCTGGGCCAGTGCTGACACTGCGGGGACAGGGACAGCCCTGTCACCCTTCTGCTGCTGCCACAGAGCCGGGCCAGCGCTGACACTGAAGGGACAGGGACAGCCCCGTCACCCTCCTGCTGCTGCCACAGAGCCGGGCCAGCGCTGGCACTGAGGGGACAGACAGAGGGGACAGCCCTGTCACCCCTCATGGTGCTATCATAGAGCTGGGCCAGTGCTGACACTGAGGGGACAGCCTTGTCACCTCTCCCAGTGCCACCACAGAGCTGGGCCAGCGCTGGCACTGAGGGGACAGCCTTGTCACCTCTCCCAGTGCCACCACATAACTGAGCCAGCGCTGGCACTGAGGGGACAGCCTTGTCACCTCTCCCAGTGCCACCACAGAGCTGGGCCAGCGCTGGCATTGAGGGGACAAGCAGAGGGGACAGCTGGCACAACCAGAGGGGACAGCCCAGCCACCCCCTCCCAGCACCCTCCAGGCCACACTGCCACGGGCAGGGGACAGGTGGCAGCAAGGGGACAGCCCTGTCACCCTGGCAGGGCAGGAGGGGACAGGGGAGGGCCGGCCCCACACACAGCCAGGCCCCACACACACCCAGGCCCCACACGCACCCAGGCCCCACACGCAGCCAGGCCCCACACGCAGCCAGGCCCCACACGCAGCCAGGCCCCACACGCACCCAGGCCCCACACGCAGCCAGGCCCCACACGCACCCAGGCCCCACACGCAGCCAGGCCCCACACGCACCCAGGCCCCACACGCACCCAGGCCCCACACACACGCACCCAGGCCCCACACGCACCCAGGCCCCACACGCACCCAGGCAGGCGTAGCCGGCGGCGGACGAGGCGAGCCCGGCGGCCGTGGGGAAGTTGTTCTCGGAGGCGATGTGGATTTTGTAGGAAAGGCTGAGCGCAGCCGCGTCCTCACCGCCCCCGCGGCGCTTCCGCGCCAGGCGCCGCACTGCGGGGACAGCGGGGTCGGGGACAGGGTTGGGGACAGCGGGGACAGGGACAGGGTTGGGGACAGCGGGGACAGCAGGGTCGGGGTCAGAGGGGACAGGGACAGAGGGGTCAGAGGGGTCGGGGACAGAGGGGACAGCGGGAACATGGACAGCGGGGTCAGCAAGGACAGCGGGGTCAGGGACAGAGGGGTCAGAGGGGTCGGGGACAGAGGGGACAGCGGGAACAGAGGGGTCTGGGACAGTGGGGTCAGGGACAGCAGGGACAGGGACAGCGGGGACAGGGACAGCGGGGACAGGGACAGCGGGGACAGTGCGGTCGGGGACAGAGACAACAGGGACAATGGGGTAAGGGGACACCAGGGACAGGGGACAATGGAGACAGGGGGGACAGGGGACACCAGGGACAGCGGGGACAGGGGAGACAGAGGTCAGTAGGGTACAACAGGGACAGGGGACAGGCGGGGACAGGGGGGACAGGGGACACCAGGGACAGCGGGGACAGGGGACAGCGGGGACACCCCCGGGCAGGGGACACTCACCCTCGCGCAGACAGGCCTGGACCCGCGGGTGCCCCACATCCGCCTCCTTCCCGTTGAGCCACAGCCGGTCCTCCGTGAAATCCCGGCTGGCGGCCACCGTCGTGGTGGTCCTGAGCTGTGGGGAGAGAGGGAAGGGGCTCAGCACCCCTGGGGGCTGACCCTAAACCTGTCCTGGTCCTAAAGCTGGTCCTGATCCTGAACCTGGTCCTGGTCCTGAACATGGTCCTGGTCCTAAAGCTGGTCCTGGTCCTGAACATGGTCCTGGTCCTAAAGCTGGTCCTGGTCCTAAAGCTGGTCCTGGTCCTAAATCTGGTCCTAAAGCCGGTGCTGGTGCTGACCCACCTGGTCCTGGTGCAGTGTCACGCTCAGGGAGGAGTTGATGGGCAGGATGAGGTCGGTGTCACGCTTACCCCCTGCAAGAGAGCACGGCATGGCACGGCTTGGAATGGCATGGCACGGCTTGGAATGGCATGGCATGGCTAGGAATGGCATGGAAGTTTGATGGCACTGATGGACACAGCAAGGCACGGAACAGAACAGCCGGGAATGGCACGGAACAGGCAGGAATGGCACGGAACAGGCAGGAATGGCACGGAACAGCCAGGAATGGCACGGAACAGCCAGGAATGGCACAGCCAGGAATGGCACGGCCAGGAATGGCACGGCACAGCACGGCACGACTAGGAGCAGCACAGAACAGCTCCGAATGGCACTGACGGACACAAAGCAAAGCATGGCACAGCAGAGCTTGGCACGGCACGGCACGGCACGGCACTGCCCGGCAAGCGAGGACACAGCGCGGCGCGCCCAGCCCGGCCCGCAGCCGATACCCCCGCGGCTCGCAGTGCCGCCCGGCCCGGCCGAGCCCGGCACTCACAGTATTTGATCACGGCGATGTTCACCGGGGCCGTGCAGGTCGCCATGGCCAGCCCGCGCTCCGCCGCCATCGCTGCCGCCCGCCCTCAGGGCCCGCCCCCGCGCCACGCACGTCACCGTGGCCTGCGGCGGGCCCCGCCTCGCCATTGGTCGAGAGCGCGGCGCTGGTTCCCAACAGCCAATGGCAGCGATCGGACCACGGCCGGCCCCGCCCACTGAGAGCGCTGGGCTGGGCCTGAGGGGCGCCATTTTTGAATTGGGCAATACCTGCGCATGCGCAGGTGCTCCCGGTGCTCCCAGTACCGTCCCAGTGCTCCCAATATCCCAGAGTTCCGGTATCCCAGTGCTCCCAGTACCACCCCAGTGCCCCAATACCCCCAGTTTTACAGTGCTCCCAGTACCCCAGTGCCCCAATACCCCAGTTTTACAGTGCTCCCAGTACCCCAGTGCCCCAATACCCCAGTTTTACAGTGCTCCCAGTACCCCAGTGCTCCCAGTACCACCCCAGTACCCCAGTGCTCCCAGTAGCACCCCAGTGCTCCCAAAATCCCTGTCACCCTCACACCTCAGGTCTCCAACTGTCCCCAGTACTCTTGGAGTGTTCCCAGAGCCTTCAGGATCACTGTATCCCAGTGCTCCCAGTACTGCCCCAGTGCTCCCAGTATCCCCCCAGTGCTCCCCCCCACCCCAGGGGCCACACCTGGATGAAACTGCCTTTATTGAGAAAAAATGGTTTGCTACAAATACGTCATCGAGTTCATTCCTCTCCAAAAAACAGGACAGCTCGTTAAAAGTTCTAATTATGCAAAAAAGTGGTGGGCGACGCACTGGTGGGCACGGCCAGTGGGATCTGTGGATCCCTGGCACAGGGAGGAATCCCTGGCACAGAGAGGGATCCCTGGCACAGAGAGGGATCCCTGGCACAGAGAGGGATCCCTGGCACAGAGAGGGATCCCTGGCACAGAAAAGGATCCCTGGCACAGCCTGGTGTGGCCCCTCACACCCAGGGCCTTAAAGTGCTTTACAAAAGCAGCTCTTGCTGCCCCTGCTCTGTCTCTGTGGGGCAAAAAGGAGAAGCAGGAGGAGAAGAGAGGGGAGCAGCCCGAGGTTAACAGCACCGAGCTCTCACAGAGGCTGCTCCAGCAGCTGAGGCTCCCAGCTGAGCACAGGACAGGGAAACACTCCCAGGTCCCTCCTGGAAGATGCCAGTGCTCTCCCCATCCCATCAGGAACATCCTCCAGGTGCCAGCAATGCTGGGCAGGTAAGAGAAGATCCCACCCCTCCTCACTGGCCTGGCTCCAGAAAGGGCAGCGGGGCAGCTCCAGCCCTTTCCCTGCCCTGCCAGGGGAGCTGAGGGCTCCCTGCACCATCCCAAAATCATCCAGGACTATGAAAACCAGAATAAACCCTAAGCCAGTATTGCTAGAGCAGAGCTGGAGGCAGGTTTGGGATAAAGCTCAGGAATTCTTCGAGCTGGGAGATGCAGAGGGGGCCTCTCCCACCCTTTCCCTGCAAATCCTGCAGGAAGGCTCTCGGGAATCACCTCCTCCCTCAGGCTCACCTGGTGCCATCTCCCTGCCAGCCCCTGCCAGTCCTCCAGAGCCAACCCCAGCAGCAGCAGGCAGGGCTGAGAGGAAGGGACAGGAGTCACCAGGATGTTCCCAGGGAGGGACTGCCACAGGGAGATGCAATCCCTGATTTCTGGGGGGAGCTTGGGGCTGGGATCCTGCATGGACAGCCAATCCATGGGCAACCAGCACCTGGATCCAACCCAACCATCCTGCCTGCTCCCTCACAGGCAGGGGAGGGAAGGGAAAGGCCCAGAGAGATCCAGGGAAGGCCCAGAGAGATCCAGGGAAGGCCCAGAGAGATCCAGGGAAGGCCCAGAGAGATCCAGGGAAGGCCCAGAGAGATCCAGGGAAGGCCCAGAGAGATCCAGGGAAGGCCCAGAGAGATCCAGGGAAGGCCCAGAGAGATCCAGGAAAGGCCCAGAGAGATCCAGGGAAGGCCCAGAGAGATCCAGGGAAGGCCCAGAGAGATCCAGGGAAGGCCCAGAGAGATCCAGGAAAGGCCCAGAGAGATCCAGGGAAAGCCCAAAGAGATCCAGGAAAGGCCCAGAGAGATCCAGGGAAGGCCCAGAGAGACCCCTGCACTTCCCCCACCTCAGAGTCCGACCTGCCGCTCCGGGATCCAGCTCCTGCCCCATTCCCAATCCACGTGTTGGTTTGCTTGGGTTATCTGTGTAAAAAATAAAAACTTTCTTCATCGTGTTCCATAAAAATACTCTTGTCCAGGGTGGCAGATATTGCAGAGTGAAGGGGAACAGCTTCTGACCCCGCTCTAGAAAACGTGGAAAAGGCTTCGTTTTGTGTAGAAAAAGGCAAGGATTTGGTGTCCCAAGAGCCAGTACAAAACGAGGAAGGGGAGGATTCCCTGGGTGCTGGATGCCATCCTCCAGGGCTCCTCTGAAGCACTGCTCAGTCTCATCCTGGGATCCAGCTGAAGGAGGCAGCTCCAGCCTCCAGCATGGGGGTCAGGACAGCCTGACATCTCTAGAAAAAAAATCCTTGGAGAGTTTAAAAAAAGATGCTCCGTGCTGCCTTTCTCCTTTTTAAAAGGATGTGGCTGATTCCAGTCCCAAGTGAGGGGGTTTGGCATCCAGTCCATCAGTTCCAGGTACCTGTTCTGCTGCAGCAGAGAGCAGGGACGAGTGTGCCAAAAAGCATCTAACAATAAATAGATCTGGACACAGGGCTATGCTCCCAACACAGATATTAAATTCCAATCCAAGGATTGATCCCAGCCCTGCTCCAGAGCTCTCTGCTCACTCACTGTGACAGCTGAAGAGGCTCCTCCACCTTCTCAAACAAGGTGGGAATTGCAGTGGGAACAGAGTGGGGCTCCGGAGGGTTCCTGCAGTGTCCAGAAGGAGCCAGGGCAGGGAGAGGGATCAGCCTCAGTTCTCAGAGAGGGACAGAGCCAGGGCTGCCTGCAACGCCGCCTCCTCGTCGATGTTGTAATCCTGAAAAGGAACCAGGGCAGCTCAGGAGAGCTGGCACAGCCAGGGCACAGCTCTGTGCCCACAGAGCCCTGCCCGCTCCCATGCCACGGAGCCTCTATTCCTGTGGCACACGGATCCCAGGAGTGGCACACGGATCCCAGGAGTGGCACCCGTGCTCTTCGGGGTGTCCCCTGTGCCCACATCCCTCTCCTGCCTGGGATCCCACCCCTGCCAGGAGGGATGGAACGTGCCCACACAAGCTGAGGCCAAAGGGTGAAGCTTTCCAGCAAGGCCAGGGGTTTTTGCAGAGCTCCAGGTCGGGTTTATCCAACTCCTGAAGTCAGGATATTCCTCTGAAAATGCCTGGAGGTTCTTTTCCCTGACATCTCTCCAATGAAAGCAGGATGGGAACAGAGCCTCCCCTGAGGCCAAGGCTGAGCCATCACAACTGCCCCCCACACAGGAGGGGTCAGGGACCCCCCAAAACCCTGGGGCAGGGCTGGTCCCACCCCCTGCTCCCAAAACCTCCAAGAAAAGGGAGTTTTTTGTTACAATTCCTCAGGGGAAGAGTTCCATGGAAAAACCCATTCTGTGGAGCACAGGTACAATCCCTTCTCCTCCTGGTGTGTGAGGACACCCTGGTGGGTGTGGGGGTCTCATGGGTGGGACACGTGTACCCCGTGAAGGGCTGGTTTCACCTCCTTTGGCACAGAACACGGGGAGGGGGGTCCCCCTTTTTTAATTCAGGCTGACACTCACCACGAAGGTGTCGTAGGAGAACTTGTGCCTGTGGAGCAGGTGCTGCAGGAAGTTGGCACTCTTGTAGCTGGGATCCCCCCAGGGCATGGCCGAGCACACTGGGCACACCTGTGGGGACACACGGACACGGAATGGTGGCACCTGCACAGGGACCTGCCAGAGAGAGGAGTTCTGCCCCTCCTCTGACAGGCTCCAACCCCTTCCAGCCTGGCCTTGGGCACTGCCAGGGATCCAGGGGCAGCCACAGCTGCTCTGGGAACCTGTGCCAGGGCCTGCCCACCCTCACAGGGAAAGATTTCTCCCTAATATCCAACCCAAACCAATTTTCTGGCAGTTTGGATCCAATCCCCCTTGTCCTGTCACTCCAGGCCCTTGTCAACAGTCTTCCTCCACCTTTCCTGAAGGTCCTGGAAGGTCAGAGTTAGGTCTCCCTGAAGCTTCTCTTTTCCAGGCTGAACAACCCCAATTTTCTCAGCCTCTCCCTCATAGAAGAGCTGCTCCAGCCCTCTGACCAACTTGGTGATCTCCTCTGGAGCTGCTCCAGCCCTCTGACCAACTTGGTGATCTCCTCTGGAGCTGCTCCAGCCCTCTGATCAACTTGGTGATCTCCTCTGGAGCTGCTCCAGCCCTCTGACCAACTTGGTGATCTCCTCTGGAGCTGCTCCAGCCCTCTGACCAACTTGGTGATCTCCTCTGGAGCTACTCCATCAGCTCCAGGTCCTTCCTGTGCTGAAGATCCCAAGTCCCCTACCTTGGTCAACCCAGAGGGAACAGACAGAGGAGATCCAGCACCACCTGGTTTGCAGGAACAGGGGGATGGAGGCAGCTCATTCCAAAGCAGGGACAGACCCCCACCTCGCAGAGGGATTAGAGCAGCTGGAGCACAGCTGTGCCTGCACACACACCCCCGGGGCGCTGCAGGGAGTGGCTGGAGCCCGGAGCATGGCACGCAGCACTCACCACTCTGTTGGGGTCGTTGCGGTGGTTCTCCATGCAGTGCTTCAGCAGCTCCTGCTGGTCCAGGTTCCGCGCGCCGCAGTACGGACACACGAAGGTGGAGCGGTTGGGAATGTTGCTGGGGAGAGCCAGGAGGAGCTCAGATCCTGGTTCATTCCAAACTAACACAGCAGCAGCCAGCCCAGCCCCCTCCCCGCTCTGGTGGAGCCTTCATCCCACCCTACGCTCCAGAACCCGGAGCAGCAGTGCCAGGAGGGAAAAAGGTGCTGCTCTTCCTCCCAGGAACACAAACCTGGATTTTGGGGCATGCAAGGAGGGCCACGTTTCCCTACCTGGGAATAGGCTGGGATGTGGGAACAACTGGAACAAACTTGGGGCAGTTGGCCATCTGCTCCTGCACCTTGGCGCAGGACGAGACGTGAGAGCGCATTTTGGCCAGGGTCACCTGCAGGAGGAGGACAAGAAACATTCCTGGAGGTGCAGGAACACCGGCCAGGAGCCAGGATAGGAGCTCAGCTGAGCTGGGTGTGACCTCTGCTCCCTGTGGAATGCTGCAGCCACCCATCCTTCCTCGCAGGATGGAAATTTGGGGCTGAAGAGATCACCAGAGGTTCTGTTCCTGTCCCCTGGGACCAGAGCCTGACCCACCCTGACTGTCCCATTCTGTGCAGAGCCAGAAGGTCCCTCCTGAGACAACTTTTCTCCAGGCTGAGCCTCCCTCCACCCTTCCCCAGCTTTCCTCAGCTCTGTTCCCTTCTCTGGACACATTCCAGAGGAGGATGGGGACAATGGGGACAATGGGGACAATGGGGACAGGCAGCTTTTACCTTCTTGCTGCAGCCTCTGCAGGGAGCCTTGTAGGACGAGAGCTGCTTCTCCAGGCTGGAAGCCTTCTCCACCTTTTTGGGATCGAAGGGCACGCGGCAGAGCGGGCACAGCGGGGAGGGCACCTGCAGGCAGGGCTGCAGGCATTCCCCACAAAACCTGGGGGCACAGGGCAGCCCTGAGCACAGCAGGATCCCCGCAGGGCACCCCACTCCCGCAAAAAACAGGTGATGGGTTCAGCTTTTTAGCAGTTTTAGCAATTTTCAGATTGGGAAATAACTCAGAACTCCACACAAAGTGTCAGCAGCTCTCCTCACAGCTCAGGCACACTGAACAATCCTGTTCCAGCCCCAGAACCAAGGACACTGCTCTGCTTCAGCCCCAAAAAGTGCAAACAACAAAAAGGCCCAAAAAATCCAAACAACAGGGAATTGAGAGCAATCTGGGAGGATGGGACTGCACCACCTGCAGCTGTGACTGGATAATTAACCCAATATGGAAATGGATCAAAACTTATAAAAGTGTGACAATTTGTGGCTCAGAGTCCATCTTGGCTCTTGTACTGCCTTTTTAATAAATCCCTATTTTAATCCTTTTCCTTTGTTTAGCCTCTGTCCTGGGTAGCCTCTCGGGGCATCACAGGGATCAGCATCCTTACTGGGAGAACTGGGAGAACTGGGAGCAGGTGAGTCCCCAGGGAGCTCCTGCAGGCTCAGACAATTCCCTGCTCCAAGGCTGGACTGGAAAGGAGCCCAGGTCAGTGCTGGGCACCCAGGCCAGGCAGGATCAGCTCATCCCAAGGTCCTTCCATCCCCACCAGCGAGGGAATCCCAGCAGCCCGGAGGAGACAAAGGAAGGCAGGAGGCAAAGGTCCCCAAAACGGGATTATCCCGGAATTCAGCAGGAACAGGGAATGAAACACCCCAAAGGCTCTGCCACTGTCGGGGGAGCGAGGACAGGGGATGGTGGAGGGGTCGGGAATCGCCCCCAGCCCCAGAGAAGCAGAGAGGGGGTGCTGGAGCCCCAAACAGCCCCAGCCCCTCGGGAACGGCCCCAAAATCCGGTGGGAAAGGATCAGGGTGACCCCGAAATGCTGGGGGGACACGGGGGCAAGGGTCGGGGGTCCTGGGGCAGCAGCCGGGTCTGGGAGCTGAGGAAGGGGTGGGATGGGGATCCCGCCGTGGGATGGGACCAGGGCCCGGTACTGACCGGGGCTGAGAGGGGAGTCCCGGTACCCAACCATCCCCGGTGTGGGCCTGGGGTCCTGTTACAGAACCATCCGGTACCGAACCATCCCCGGTGTGAGCCGGGGGTCCCGGTACCGAACCGTCCCCGGTGTGAGCCGGGGGTCCCGGTACCGAACCAACCCTGGTGTGAGCCGGGGGTCCCGTTATAGAACCATCCGGTACCGAACCATCCCCGGTGTGGGCCGGGGGTCCCGGTACCGAACCATGCCCGGTGTGGGCCGGGGGTCCCGGTACCGGCTGGGCTCAGCGCAGAGCGCCCCAAGAACCCCACAGCGGGCACAGCGCCCAGCCCCGCGTCCCGCCCGTCCCCGGGACCGGCTCATACCGGGGGTCCCCACCACCCCCGCCCGGGCCCCGTCTCACGTGTGGCCGCAGCCCGCGATGCCGACGGCGCGGTGGAAAACCTCGAGGCAGATGGGGCAGCTGAACTGCGCCTCCAGCGCCTCGGCCGCGGCACCGGGGGCGGCGCGGGGGGGCCCGGCCGGGCCCTGCGGCCGCTGCGCCGCCGCCACCAGCAGGCTCCGGAACATGGCGGCCGCGTCACCGAGCGTCGCCTGCGCGTCATCGCCGCGCGACGGGAGCGCACCGGGACACGGCGGGACGCGGCGGGCCGGGAGGAGCCGAGCGGGGCCGGGAGGAGCCGAGTGAGGGACGAGTGGAGCCGAGTGAGGGACGAGTGGAGCCGAGTGTGGGACGAGTGGAGCCGAGTGGAGCCGAGTGAGGGACGAGCGGAGCCGAGTGGAGCCGAGTGAGGGACGAACGGAGCCGAGTGCGGGGCCGAGCGGAGCCGAGTGAGGGACGAGCGGAGCCGAGCGGGACCGAGTGAGAGCCGAGTGAGGGACGAGCCGAGCAAGACCCTCCGAGAGTTACCGGAACTCACCGGGACCCACCGGAACCCACCGGAACCCACCGGAACCCACCAGCCCCAACCAGGACCCAACGGGACCCACCGGAACCCACCGGGACCCACCAGCACCAACCAGGACCCAACGGGACCCACCGGAACCCACTGGCACCAACCGGGATTCACCGGAATCCACCGGGACCCACCGGAACCCATCGGAACCAACCGGGATTCACCGGAATCCACCGGCGCCGCCATGTGCGACGTGGAGGGTGGCGGCGGTGGCTGCGGGGAGGACGCGGATCCGCCGCGCCGCCGCCGCGCACCGGCAGACAGGTGTGAGTCCGGTCCGGCCTCGGAACGGACCCCCGGGGCCGCTCCCGGTACCCCCCGGTAACATCCCGGGTATCCCTGGTGCTGCCCGGGGACCGGGGCCGCCCCCTTTAGCGGGTCCCGGTGTCCCCGGTGACCGGCCGTGTCCCCGCAGCCAGCCCCGGACGTGCATGAAGTGCGGGCAGGGCACGGCCGCGCTCGTCATCCGCGTCGGGGACCCCTTCTGCCGGTGAGGGACCGCGGGGACGGCGGGGCTGGGGACAGCGGAAATTGGGGGTGTCAGAAATTGGGGACATCAGAAATTGGGAATGTCAGAAATTGGGGACATCAGGGCTTGGGGATATCAGAAACTGGGGACACTGGGGCTTTGGGACATGAGAAATTTGGGACGTCAGAAATTGGGGACACTGGGGCTTTGGGACATCAGAAATGGGGAACACCAGAAATTGGGGACATCAGAAACTGGGGACATCAGGGCTTGGGGATATCAGGGATTGGGGACACTGAGGCTTTGGGACATGAGAAACTGGGGACATGAGAAATTGGGGACGTCAGAAATTTGGGACACTGGGGCTTTGGGACATGAGAAATTGGGGATGTCAGAAATTGGGGACATCGGGGTTTGGGGACATCAGAAATGGGGAACACCAGAAATTGGGGACATCAGAAACTGGGGACATCAGGGTTTGGGGACATCAGAAATGGGGAACACCAGAAATTGGGGACATCAGAAACTGGGGACATCAGGGCTTGGGGATATCAGAAACTGGGGACACTGGGGCTTTGGGACATCAGAAATTGGGGATGTCAGAAATTGGGGACACTGGGGCTTTGGGACATCAGAAATCGGGGATATCAGAAATTGGGGTCTTGGAGTCTCCAGAGGATGGAGGCTGGGGAGCTTTGGGTCTTGGGGACATCAGGGATTGGGGACATTTGTTCTCAGGGACGTTGTGTCTGGAGCACTGTGTTGTTGGGGTTGGGGGTCTCTGGGATTTTAAGGTTTGGGGACATTGGGTGTCTGGGACATGTGGCCAGACAACATCAAGGCTTGGGGACAGTGAGTGTTGACACAGAACAGAGGGGACAGTAACGTTTGGGGACGTGGCTCATGGAATCTCTGGGATCTCGGGGCCTGAGGATGCTGTTTTCAGGGACGTTGGTCTGGGGGACATAAGGGGATTTTGGGGTGTGAGAATATGGGGTCAGGGGGTGTCAGCACAGGGTGTGGCTCAGGAGTCCCCGTGTCACCGTGTCCCCCAGCGGCTGCTTCCGCGAGTACTTCGTGCACAAGTTCCGTGCCATGCTGGGCAAGAACCGCGTCATCTTCCCGGGAGAGAAGGTACAGCAGGGGGACCGGGCCGGGGGGCCTGAGGTGGCCCCAGGGCCGGTGACCGTCCCCGCTGTCCCTGCAGGTGCTGCTGGCCGTGTCGGGGGGCCCGGCCTCCAGTGCCATGGTCCGGCAGGTGCAGGAGGTGAGAGTGGGGACGTGGAGGGGCTCGGGGGGCACACGGCTCGTTCCCCCCTCGCCCCACAGCTCACCCCACTCCTCACCCCACTCCTGTGCAGGGGCTCAGCCGGGAGGCGGCCAAGAGGCTCCGCTTCGTCCCCGGCCTCGTCTACATTGAGGGTGAGGGAGCCCCGCTGCTGCTCCTGTCCATGTGCATTCCCTGCTCCTGTCCAGCTGTGCATTCCCTGCTCCTGTCCAGCTCTGCATTCCCTGCTCCTGTCCATGTGCATTCCCTGCTCCTGTCCAGCTCTGCATTCCCTGCTCCTGTCCATGTGCATTCCCTGCTCCTGTCCAGCTCTGCATTCCCTGCTCCTGTCCAGCTCTGCATTCCCTGCTCCTGTCCAGCTGTGCATTCCCTGCTCCTGTCCAGCTCTGCATTCCCTGCTCCTGTCCAGCTGTGCATTCCCTGCTCCTGTCCATGTGCATTCCCTGCTCCTGTCCAGCTCTGCATTCCCTGCTCCTGTCCATGTGCATTCCCTGCTCCTGTCCAGCTCTGCATTCCCTGCTCCTGTCCAGCTCTGCATTCCCTGCTCCTGTCCAGCTGTGCATTCCCTGCTCCTGTCCAGCTCTGCATTCCCTGCTCCTGTCCAGCTGTGCATTCCCTGCTCCTGTCCATGTGCATTCCCTGCTCCTGTCCAGCTCTGCATTCCCTGCTCCTGTCCAGCTCTGCATTCCCTGCTCCTGTCCAGCTCTGCATTCCCTGCTCCTGTCCAGCTGTGCATTCCCTGCTCCTGTCCAGCTGCCCATTCCAGCCCCATTCCCTGCTCCATGTCCAGCTGCCCATTCCCATCCCATTCCCTGCCCTGCTGCCTGTTCCCTACCTCATTCCCTACAACATCATTCCCTACTCCCCATTCCAGCCTTGTTGCCTGTTTCCTGCCCCATTTCCTGCCCCACTGTCCGTTCTGTACCCCATTCCCAGCCCTGCTGCCCATTCCTCGCACATTCCCAGCCCCATTCCCTGCCCCAGCACAGTGTCCCCTGCACTGTGCCAGGGCCAGGGTGTTGCGTCCCTGGCCCCAGGAATGGGGCTGGGAATGTGGCAGCAGCCCTGGCACTGCCCCCCTGGCTCCAGGAACAGGGCTGGGAATGTGGCAGCAGCCCTGGCACTGCCCCCCTGGCCCCAGGAACGGGGCTGGGAATGTGGCAGCAGCCCTGGCACTGCCCCCCTGCCTTCCAGAGGGAGCCGTGCGCAGGCAGAGCCCGGAGCAGCGGGAGCAGACCCTGGCCCAGATGGAGACCCTGCTGCAGGCCACCGGCTTCCCCTACCACCTGATCCACCTGGAGGAGGTATTGGGGTGACAGGGGGACAGGTGCTGAGGTGAGGAGACACACTGGGACAACTTCCCCCGCATCCCTCTCTGCCCCACAGGCGCTGGAGCTGCCCCCGTCCATCTTACAGCCGGGGCCGGAGCGCGCCAGCACGTCCAACCCATCCGGCCCTTCCTACAAGAAGGCTGTGGACAGCTTCATCCAGCAGCAGCGGCAGGACGGGGACAGTGGCACCTCTCAGCCGGGTCACAGCACCCCGGCCAGGCCAGCAGGACCCCCGGCCGCCCCCCACCTGCCGGACGCTGCCCAAACGCAGGAGCTGCTCCGCGCCTTCGAGGCCACAACCACGGCCACGGCGCGGGAGGAGCTGCTGGAGATGCTGCGGTGAGGGGCTGACCCCGCTGAGGGCCAGCACCGAGGCCAGCTGGGCAGGGTGGCTCTGATCTGCTGTCACCTCGTCCCCCAGGACCCACCTGATCGTGCAGACAGCGCGGGACAGGGGCTATGCCAAGGTGATGATGGGCGAGAGCCTCACGCGCGTGGCCGTCAAGCTCCTCACCAACCTCTCCCTGGGGCGCGGCGCCTTCCTCGCCGTGGACACGGTGAGCTGGGGACGGTGACACGATGCCACGGGGGCACGGCTTGCTGGTGGCACAGTCCCCTGGCAGCCCTGCGCCCACAGGGCTTCACGGACCAGCGCCACGGTGACGTGATGGTGGTGAGACCCATGCGGGACTACACGGCCAAGGAGATCGCCTTCTACAACTTCTACTTCAGCGTCCCCACCGTCATCGTGCCACCCCTCTTCACCAAGGTAGGGGGTTCCCCGTGGTGGGGAGCCCACTCTGGGTGTCCCCACGGCAGGGACGGGACCCCCAGCGCTGCCCTGCCCTCCCTGTTGGTTCCCACAGCGCCGGGAGAAGCTCAGCATCCACCAGCTGGTCGAGCGCTTCCTGCTGGGGCTGCAGGAGGAGTTCCCCTCCACCATCAGCACCGTGTACCGGTACGGGGGGTCCGTGTGGGGGTACTGGGGGTGTGGGGGGATTGGGGTGCACCCACAACCCCCATCTTGGCTGCAGGACTGGGGAGAAGCTGAGCCCGGAGCCGGCCAAGGCCCACAGCGAGTCCCAGCGCTGCCTCCTCTGCCTCTGCGGCCTGGACACCTATGGGGGTGAGTGGGGAGGGCACTGGGGGAGTTGGGGAGCAGCCGTGCACCCCTCAGTGACCCCCTGGCTCTTACAGAGGAGGAGCTGGCTCTGGAGCCCACGCTGATCCTGGAGGAGCCAGCAGCAGGGTGAGCACACGGGCTGGGGGCATTCCAGGATTCCACAGCCGCTCCCAGGCCACCTTGGTGGCACCGCTGAGTGTCCCTGTCCTCATCCCTGTCCCTGTCCTCATCCCTGTCCCTGTCCTCCTCATCCCTGTCCCTGTCCTCGTCCCACAGGGTTGAGAGCAAAGCTGCCTACATCCCCCTGCTGTGCTACAGCTGCCGCCTCACCTTCAAGGAGCTGGTGAGGTTTTTGGGGTGCAGGGGGGTGGTTCTCGGGGCTGCTGGGGGTCCCCAGGCTCACGGCCCCTCTCGTGCAGGGTCCCCTTGCCACACTGCCACCCTACGTGCGCGCCGAGGGCCAGCGCAGGATCCGCAGGTACCGGGGCTGGGGGGCCCCTCCCCGCCTGCTCTGCCCCCGAGGCCGTGTCCATCCAGTGTCTGTCCCTTGCAGAGCTCAGATGGAGCAGAACCAGCAGAACCAGGAGTCCAGCGAGAGCTGAAGGGGCTGGGGACAGCAGGGGACACATCCCCATCCCACACTGTGGCACTGCTGGGGCAGGTGGCACTCCTCAGGGATACCCCAGGGGTTGGTGAGGACTCCTGACGCCCAGGCAGCTGCTTTTATACCCCATTTCTGTGCCAGCCAGGGGCAGGGAGAGTCCCCAGCCCCATTTCCTGGGGGCTGGGGTGCAGGTCCCTGGTTCCCCCCACCTCCCTGCCCCAGCTGCCTGTCAGCCAGGGAGGCCTCAAGTTTGTTTTATTCGGTATCTGTATAAATAAAACATTTGAATTATTTTAAAAAAATCAAACCCAAAGTCACAAGTGTCTAAAGTCCAACTGGGGCTGCCAGACCCCCTCTCAAACATGGGGGGCCATAACCCAGGACCCCCATCCTGGAGCTGTGGGGGGGATATTGCTTGAATTCAACCTGGTTCTGGAGCGGGGCTGGGGCAGGGAGGGGGCACGGGCTGGCTCTTGACCTCCCCATCCCCACCTGGCAGCCAGCAGTGCCCAGTCGGTGGGGGGACCACCTCCTGTCCCCCCTCCCCGGGAAGGCACAACGTGGTCTGTGCAGGTCGGACACCTTCAAAGCAATGTAAGAAAAACCTCCAGAGAAACATCCTCCCTCCACGGGAGTGCCCAGAACCCCACATCCCACTGCCTCCCGGGCCGGGATGCGGCCCCAGCTCGGGGGGCTGCTTAAGGCATTGGCGGTGATGTCCCTGTCAGGGGGAGGCTGGAGCCCCTTCCCCTTAATTCTTCTCCCGTGTCCACTTGATCATGGTCTCGGGCGAGCGGTAGAGGAAGATGAGCTTGGCGTAGAGCTCCTCCTCCAGCTCCAGCTCGCCCGTCTCCCGCACCAGGAAGATGTCGTGGCACAGCTTCAGGATGCGATCCACGTAGGGCAGCTCCTCGAACATGATGGAGTGGGAGATCTCGCTGAAGAAGCCCCGCACGAACTTGCCAATCACCAGCACGATGGACACGTAGAGCCCCATGATCCTGCAAGAGCGGGACACGTCCTGGATCCCACCGGCAATTCCCTGCGGATCCCCACCACGCCCTGGCACCCTCCACATACCCGTAGCCAGCCAGGAAGCCCAGGCTGGGCGGGCTGACTTTGTCGTTGAAGATGATCATGGGGAGGATGTTGCCCTCTTGGGGTGGCGCGTCCTTCTGCCTCAGCACCCACCACTCCACGAAGTGCTCCCCGCGGCCGGAGCCCCTGCGCTCCCGTTTCAGCTGCACCTCCACGTCCAGGTAGCTGTCCAAGTCATCTGGAGAGGGTGACACCGTCAGGGCGCGGCACAGTGGCTGCTGTGCCCTTAAGGATGTGTTTTTTGGGGGCAGTGACACAGTGGGACTCGTGTCCTCGCTGTCCGCAGGGGCTGGCACCATCAGGGCTACTGCTGTGCCCCCAGCACTGATGTTTTAGGGAGAGACACACTGGGACTCCCGTCCTCCCTGTCTTCAGAGAGGTGCCACCAGTGCTGGTTTTCTTGGGGGGGACACACTGGGACCTACCTGGCAGCAGCTGCTTGATGGGTTCTGCTTCGCTGCCAGTGGGCGCCCGGATATATTTGGGGAAGAGGTTTGGCAATACCCTGCAAGGAAGCAGAGTGATAAGGGGGGGTTACACCATCCCACTGAGCACAGGGGTCCAGCCACCCCCTCAGGGACACTCACACAGGCTTATCCCTGGTGCCATCCAGCAGCTGGGCCAGCTCCAGGCGCTGGGGCGCGCCGGGCGCCAGGTCCATGTCGTGTTTGCCGTAGGCGTTCTCCACCGTGCCCCCCTTGTTCAGGTCCCTGCGGGCACAAGAGGCTGGGTGTGGGCAGGAGGGCGCAGGCAGGGCTGGCTCCTCCCTGGCCGTGCCCGAGGTACCTCTGGAAGATCCAGGTGAGGTGCAGGGTGATGTCGGAGGAGCCGTTCTGCAGCTCCAGCCGCATCTGCTCGCGGCTGGGGGGGCTGATGCTCCACAGTGAGCCCGAGCTGCCCTCGACGCGGGCAGTCACGATGTCCTCCATGCCGTAGAGGCTGATGAACTGCATGGCCACCTGCCACCGGGGGGGACACGGCTCAGCCCTGCCCTGGGGGCTCTGCCAGACCCCTCCCCGGGCAGCCAGCAGGGATTTTTTTGGGGTGTGGTGGGCGGGGGAGGATTTACCGGCTCGCTCTCAAACTCTTTGGTGAGCTCATCGTATTCCTCAGAGGTGAAGGGCTGGATGTATTGCTGCTGGGAGCTCGTGCTGAACAGAGGCTGTGGGGACAGGGGGACATCAGCCAGGCAGGGCAGGGCACCCCGGTGTCCCATCCGGGCACCCCAACAGCCACCCCACATCCTCACCTCGTACCCCCCCAGCTTGAGGTTGACGGTGACATCGATGGGGTGGTTGATGATGCCCACCACGGAGCGCACCAGGGACATGAAGAGCAGCGGGAACCAGATGATGCCCACGAGGAAGAGGATGATGAGGCCGCCCATGCCATACTTCACCACCTTCTTCTTCTTCTGCCCCTTGGGCTGGGGGTATTTCTGGGGCGGGGGGGACAGCACACGGTGTAGGGTGGGCTCAGGGGGACCCCAACAAACTCCCGAGAGGGGTTTAGTGAGGGACCCTTCCTGGCACAGGGGATGTACCTTCTCAGTCTCCCGGCTGCACTTGATGATGAAGATGTTGGCGTAGATGTCCTCCACGCACATCCAGTTGGAAAGGGACAGCGTGGTGTCCGTCCACACCCAGTCCATGACGGCCCGCAGCTCCACCAGGAAGGGCACGAGGCGGAACCTGGGGGCACACGGGGACAGGGCAGTGGTAGGGCACCCTCAGGCTGCCCAGAGCCCCCTGTGGCCCCGTGCCGTACCCCTGGAAGAGGAAGAGGTTGAGGTGGTTGTATTTCTTGGTGAGGAAGTTGCCCAGGATGCGGGTGGGGTAGCCACAGCGGATCTGGTAGGCCGACAGCCCGAAGTAGATGCACTTCACAAAGTACCACAGCTGGGCCACCATGTTTTGGCGGAACAACCTGTGGGAGGGACGTGCCACCCTTCAGCCACCAGCCGGGGCCACCCCGTGGGCTCGGGGACATCGAGGTGCCACACGAGGGCCGCGCTGTGCCGTGGAATCTTTGGGACGTACCTCTCGGTGACGTAGGGCAGGATGAAGAACATCCAGACGTGGATGCCAAAGACCAGGGTGACCTGGAAGATGAGCTTGCCCAGCACCGTTTTGCGGAGGTAGAGCGCGCGGTCGATGACCATGGTGCTGAACTGGAAGAGCATCATGAACAGGAAAGCCTCCGGCACTTGGTTTTCCGACAGCGAGGAGGTGATGTCAGCGGCCGCCGTGTGTTTCTGGGGTGCAGGAGAGGTCAGCATGTGGCCCGGCCGCACCCTGGGGTGCAAGCAGGACAGTCAGGGCCCGCTGGGACTCCCTGCTCACCCCAAAGGCCCAGAAGCCGAAGACGATGATGATGAAGTCGACCACGTCAGCCAGGAACATGTAGGCGTAGACGTCGGTGGCTGCACGGCTCTGCGTGTCCAGGATGTCCCGGAAGAACTTGCACACGGGCTGGTACATGTACTGTGCCCTGCAGGGACAGGGGACACGGAGGACACGGGGGACACGGGGGACAGGTGACTGGCACCACACCCCACAGCCCCCACCCCAAAAGCAGCACCGCCACGACTCACTTGGTGAGGATGAAGCCCTTGACCCGCAAGCCAAACGCCTTCAGCTTCCTTTGAGCGTGGCTCTCTTCTGACACCTCCTCCTCCTCCTCTTCCTCACCCCCTTGAAGTGAGGCACAGCATGGGTGACAGCCAGAGTCCTGCAGGGCCACATCCTGCCCGACCCCAGCACCCTGGGGTGCCAGCCTTGCTCCTCAGCAGGGCATGAGGGCTGGGAACTGGTGCTCACCTTCCACTGGAACCACCTCCAGCGTCTTCCTCCCCTGCTTCCTCCTGAAGCGGAGCTGCGTGGTCTCAGTCTCCTCTTCCTGCTCCACAGACTCGCCCTCTGGCTCCAGCTCCAGCCCCGTGGCTGCTCCCAGTGCTCCTGGCTGGGCTGGAGCCTCCAGCCCTTCCTCAGCCACTGCTGATGCTGAGGACACGGCTTCCTCTGGCTTCTCCTCCCCTTCCTTGCTCTCCTGCTTCTCATCCGTCGTCTTCTCCTGGTCCCACAGCCCATAGGACTGCGGAGGGACACGTCAGGGGTCCTGCTGACCCCAGCCCCACACACCTCGCTCCCCATCCTGCAGCATCCACTCCCACCAGCACTGGTGGGGAACCACGGCCGAGCACCCGGCACCCCCTGGGTTCTGCCCGGAGCCCCAGGAGCAGCTCCAGCTCCCCCCAAACGCCACCCACGGCCCAGGGCTCACCAGCAGCAGGGAGCGATGGAAGAAGAGGGCCAGGAGCTGCAGGAGGTCATACTTGATGTAGTGGATGGACTTCTCCAAGCCCAGGATGCGTGGTGGGAAGAAGGGCTTGCCCTCGTAGCGCAGCAGGGTGATGTAGCCATTCCAGGGGAAGAAGCCAAACTGGAAGAGGTATTTCACCACCACCGTCATCTGTGGGGACGCTGGGGTCAGTGGGTGGCAGCGGGGCCCGGTGGCATCGTCCCTTCGCTGGCCACCCCCTGCCCACCTCGGTGAAGAGGATGGCGGTCATCCAGAAGCGCTTGGTGGGCCGGGGGATGGAAAGCATGGCCCAGAGGAAGATAAGGATGGGCAGGAAGAGGGAGATGACGGAGCCTGTGACCATGTTGTTGAGGATGATGGTGAAGTAACAGAGCAGGTCGGAGTGGCCGGTGACGCAGCGGTACCCGGCCAGCAGCAGCTTCAGGAACCGGTTGTGGGATTGGTAGAACTGCTCCGACTCCTCCAGCTCGGAGACATACAACCTCCTGCAGGATGCAGGGCTGGGGTGAGCCCCCTGCCACCCCGTGTCCCCATCCCGCTGTCCCCGTGTCCCCCTGTCCACCTGCTCCTGAGGAGCTCACTGGCGGTCCGCCGGCGCTGCTGGGGAAGGGCCAGGAACTGCTGGGCATCAGCCACGTCCTCCTGGCTGCTGGAAGAAGGGGCAGCTCTGAGGCACCCGCTGGGGATGCCACAGGGGCAGGGGTGAGCCCCCAGCCCCACCTGTGGCACTGCCAGGGGGGTCTCTATGCACCTGCCTGGAAGTGCCGCTTTGGGAATCCGCAGCCAAGGAGCCGGGCGGGCTCGGCTCCTGCGGGAACTCCTCCGGGGGCAGCTCGTAGAGCTCATCAGGGAACTCCTCGTTTATCTCCTCTCCCTGTGGCAGGCAGGACGTCAGTGCCACCGTGGGCTGCCACCCCCCTGCAGGCCGGCGTCCCCCCCGGGCTCACCCTGGCCAGGCGCTGTGCCATGACGAATCTCTCGAGGCACAGCACGTGGGACATGTCCGTGTGCTCCCGGTTCTGGGTGTCCAACCACTTGGTCAGCCCATCCACCAGGGCCTGGCACAGCAGCCACAGGAACCTCAGCGTGTTCAGTGCCCGCTGCAAGACGTTGCCACGCTCTGCCAGGGCAAAAAGAGGGGTGGAGGGTCACTCGTGCCCTCTCAGCCCTCCCCAGCAACCCCCTGCACTGCAGCCCTGCTGCCCACCTACCAGAACTTTCCACGTTCTCTTCCTCCCGGCCTTCAGCCCCCTCGGCAGCCTCCACCTCTCTCCTTGTGTCATCCCCTCAAAGGTCAGACCCCAAGAAGGATAAACATCATTTTTGGGGCTCTCCCATGCACCACCCCATCCCCTGCCCCTCCACATCCACCTTACAAACCAGGGTGGGCACCAAAGAAGCTGCACAGCTTCTGCCAAACCCCACCGTAGCCACCAGACAGTCTCCCCACACACCAGGAGCGCCCTGCCAGGGCACACCATGGGCACCAGGCAGGGCTGTGTCCCCTCCTGCCCCTCAGCCCGATTTTGGGGTGTCACACCCACCTGCAGCGCCGTTGGCACTGGGTGGCCGTGGCTGCTCGGGCTCCTCCTGCTGCCGCAGCACCGTCCTGGTGTTGGTCACCCAGGCCTGGTAGGCGAGCTGGAGGGGGACAGGGGCCATCAGCACCCTGGGGACACTGCCAGCCCTCCGGCTGCTCTGCAGTGCCCCAGCCCTGCTCACCTGGAAGGCGCTCAGCCTCCCCGGCCGCAGCTCCTCCTGCGCCTCCTCCTCCTCCTCGCTGTCCGACTCGAAGAGGAAGTATTCCCCGGAATGCAGCACTGCCGGGGGGGCACAGGGTGTCACGGCACAGCCAGGGCCGTGGCAGGGGTGGCACACCTCAGGCTGTCCCCACTGCCTGGCACCGAGGACACCCACGGGGACACCAAACCAAGGACTCAACCACCGCGTCCCCACAGCGGTGTCCCTCCGGACGTGAGCGACGCCGGCGACCCCAAACCCAGCCTGGCACCCCCAGTCCAATCCCAGTTAGTGCTGGGGAGCAGAGAAGCTGTGGTTAGTGCCCTGGGGACAGGGGACATGCAGGGTGTCCCCCGGTGCCCTCTGTGAGGGGCTGAGCCCCTCACGGCCCCGTGCCGGGGCTGTACCTGTGGCGTGGTCTAACCACGGCCGCCACCAGCGCTGCCTCTGCCGGGACGGGTCTGCCGGGCTGCCGGGCGCTGTGGGATGGCAACGGGGTGAGCAGGGCCCTGCTGGGGCACCCACCCTGCCTGGGGGGCACTCGGGGTGGGAGACATCCTCACAGCGCTGCGCGGGGCTCCACCAGGACGGGCGCTGGCCAAGGGGTCATGGTGCCAGCTGTGTGTCCACAGAGGGGTTGGGGACACAGGAGGGACCCCCCAGCTCTCACCTGCCCCTTCCTGCTCCGGGCTGGTGGTCTGCTCCTGGTGGTACTTCTGCTGCTTGGCTCGGATCCGCTCCATCCTGGGGGAGAGGATGCTGCAGAGCCCGCTGCCCCAACCCCACAGGGGCACCCCATACGCAGGGGGGTCCCAGGGTGCAGGGAGAGGGGTCCCAGTGCCCCCCAAAACCCACTCACTGCCGCTTCAGCTGGTCCAGTGACCTCTTCTCGGCTAGCTGGTGCGAGCGCAGGCTCTTCATGATGCTGGCCTTGAACAGCGCCACACCCCTGGGGGACAGGGACAGTGGAGGGTCAGAGGGTGTTACGGTGAGCTCCTGGACACCCTTTTGTCCCCCCTTTCCCCGGGCCTCTGTGGCTCTGATCAAGATAACCCCTGGATCCTCCCCCCTGCCTCAATGGGGTTGGCAGGGAGCCAGGAGAGCCCACCCTGTCCAAAACCTATATAGACCCCTGAAACTTCCTGCTCTTCCTCTTTTGCCCCGCTCTCCATGGACACCACAGAATAAAGAGAGCTGTTCCAACTTCCCTGGGGTAAGAGCCTCTTTTGAATACTTTTCCCTCTCCTGCTATTTCCTCCCCTCACAGCCCCATATCTCTGAGCTAGTCGGATTCATTCGGGGGGCTGCGTGGAGGGGGGGAAAACCATAGAAATAACAAGAGGGGGCCTCCAGCACGCATGGAGACCCTCCAGAACCTCAATCCCACCTGGAAGCCTGCAGGGCAGAGGCTCGGAGGTTCCACATGACGTGCAGGTAGTAGGAGCTGAGGAAGATGCGGCGCTGGAGCAGCAGGAAGAAGAAGCAGATGCTGTCCCACATGATGCCGGCCTCCTCCACGGGCAGCGTGCAGTCGTGGTCCTTGTGCATCGCCTTGGCTGGCAGGCAGAGGTGCAGGCAGAGGTGCAGCAGGTCAGGCAGCAGCCCAAAGCTGCAGCCCCCAGCCCCCCAGAGCAGCAACTCACGGTTGTAGTAGCCCTTGACAGTGCAGACGAGGCTGAAGAGCTGGATCACCCAGCAGAACCTGCTCTGCATCTGCTGCACGAAGACGCAGGACAGCAGCTGCGGGCAGAGAGGGCACACGGGGCTCTGTCACCACGCCCGGGGACACTGGGGGGGACACAGGGGATCACAACGCACCGACAGCATGTTTTTGGAGACGATGACGGTGATGTTGTAGAGGATGAGGCAGTCCCAGAGCGCCAGGCGGGCGCGGGCCGGCTTGCGCAGCATGGCGCTGCCCGAGAGCAGCAGGTAGAAGCAGGCCAGCACGTAGCCCAGGCCAAACAGGCTGATGCGGTTGCTGCCGGTGATGAAAACCACCACCAGCACCACCCAGAAGAAGTAGTGGAACACCACCACCTTCACCATGTCCAGGTAGGACCTGCGGATGGGGTGGTCAGAGCAGGGGCCATGTCCCTTCCCAGTCCCCCCACCACCCCTCTCGTGGGGGACAAAGGGCTTTGTCACAGTTTGTGGGTCCAGCACCATCACCAGGGGTGTCCTGGACCACCTCATCTCCTTCCAGAAGGGCCTCAGGGTGTCCCTGCTCAGCCATCATGGGGGTCATGTCCATAGGGACCCTGGCCCAAAGGGGTTCAGTGCCATTCCAGGGGATCCCAGCCCAGCAGGTCCCACTGCCTGAAGGTCCCATCCTACCTCAAGGGATCCCATCCCAGGGGATTTGCCATCCAAAGGTGGGATCTCATCCCTACCCCGAAGGGTTCCATCCCAGGGGGGAACCCATCCTGGCCATACCCCAGAGATTGGCATCCCACGGCTGGAATTCCAAGGGTGTGATTCCATTGTGCCCACACCCCAAAGGGTCTCACCCAGCTGGGTCTCACCCTGTCCATACCCCAGGGATGCCATCCCAAGGGGTCTCACCCAGCTGGGTCCCATCCGTCCCATACCCCAGGGATGCCATCCCAAGGGGTCCCATCCCTCCCATACCCCAGGGATGCCATCCCAAGGGGTCCCATCCCTCCCATACCCCAGGGATGCCATCCCAAGGGCCCCCAGGGATGCCATCCCAAGGGGTCTCACCCAGCTGGGTCCCATCCCTCCCATACCCCAGGGATGCCATCCCAAGGGGTCCCATCCCTCCCATACCCCAGGGATGCCATCCCAAGGGGTCTCACCCCATCCACACCCCAGGGATGCCATCCCAAGGGGTCTCACCCCGTCCATACCCCAGGGATGCCATCCCAAGGGGTCCCATCCCTCCCATACCCCAGGGATGCCATCCCAAGGGGTCCCATCCCTCCCATACCCCAGGGATGCCATCCCAAGGGGTGTCACCCTCCCATACCCCAGGGATGCCATCCCAAGGGGTCTCACCCCATTCACTGCCCACAGGGGATCCCATTCCCGCGGCCCCAGCCCCGCTGTGCCGGGGGTGCCCACCTGCAGTAGATGAAGTTTGGGGTGGGGTTGTGGCGGTCCTGCTCCCGGTCCAGCCGCTCCGAGTTGTCCCCGGCCGCCTGCAGCCACGGCTCGGAGCGCTCGGCCTCGAAGACGCGCCACTGCTGGGCCGCGCACAGCAGCAGCATGAAGTCATCTGGGAAAACACGGCACCCCCAAAACGCTGTACCCCCCAAACCCTTCCCCAGGCACGGAGCATCCCCCTCCTGAGCTGGTTCATTCCCTCCGGGCAGGTGTGGCTCTCCCCAGCCCCACCTCCTCTTTAACCAAGTGTGGATCTCTCCAGGCCCCTCCTTTTCCCAAAAAGTTGGTGGCAAAACAATTAAGGTCCCCCAAAAAGGGGTGGGGTTTGCCATTACTCCTTCTCCAAAGGGGGGTGTGTGATTTAAGCTCTGTCTCCAAAAGAGTGGGGCTCTTAAAGCTCCTCCACCCCTCCTGCCTGTCCTTCCCCCATCCTGGATGGAGCCAAAGGATGGCTGGGGAGTTCCCAGAGGTTGGGGGGGCTGGAGCAGGGGGACAGGGCACCCCATGGGCACAGAGGTGCCAGGGGCTGGATTTGGGGGGCCAGAGGACTGCCATGGGCTGTGTCACCCCATGAACAGGGGACTGCCAGGGGCTGGAGTAGGGTGGCAGGGCACCCCATGGGCACAGAGGTGCCAGGGGCTGGATTTGGGGGGCCAGAGGACTGCCATGGGCTGTGTCACCCCACGAGCAGGGCACAGCCAGGGGCTGGAGCAGGGGCACAGGGCACCACATGGGCAGGGGGCTACTCACTGATGAGGTTGGTGGATTTGGGGGGCTGGAAGAAGTCGGGCAGGTAGAGCCACTTGATGAGCGCCGAGTTGAGGGGAATGGTGTGGCTCCAGCGCCACGGATAGTCTGGGGCAGAGGGGCACCATCAGTGCCAGGGCAGGCCAAGGGTGCCCCACAGAAAGGTGGGGTGCCCCCTGTGCCCCTTACCCATGCAGAGGGCGGGTGGCATCCCCAGGCACAGCAGGTACTGGTAGAGGAAGAAGATGAGGAGGAAGAGGCAGTACTTGGGCCAGAGGCGGGCGATGGCCGCGCGCCGCCGCCGCGTCAGCATCACCACGAGCCAGCAGCCGTGCAGGATCACCAGGAAGTTCATCCGCTGCCCGATCACGTTCACCATCATCAGGAAGCAGATCTGGGGGCGCAGGGGGGCGCAGGGCTCGGCACGGGGACGCTGCGAGCGCCGGGACCCCCACCCTGCACCACGCTCCCACCTCCAAACCAAACTTGTAGTAGAAGTAGTTGATGAAGTATTTGGCGCAGCTGACGAGGCCGAGGTCGAGGTGCTGGCGGGAGATGTCCTCGAAGACGGTCTCGGTGACGGGGGCCACCAGCTGGTGCTTCTTGCGGTGGTACTGCTGGCGCCGGTACACCACGGCCTCCAGCACCAGCAGCAGCAGCACCTGCAGGTGGTTCTGGGGGACAGGGGACACTCAGAACCACACTGTGAACCCAAAAATGCCCTCCCCACAACATCCCCGTGCCCACCTTGACGTATCCCCAGTTGGGGAAGCCCTTCCGGATGCCGAACCAGTTGGCAGGGTCCACGGGGCCGCGGTACAGCGTGGAGTTGCCCAGCTCCTCTGGGGTCAGGTTGGTGCTGTTGGGTAGGGGCTGCGAAAGGGGAGCACCCAAGGGTGGGTCAGCACCCCAGGACCCCCCTCCAGCCAGGGAGCCCCCCGAGAACCGGCCCCGCTGGGCACACCTGGGTGCAGTTGCTCAGGTACTGGCGGGGGTCCACGACCTCGAGCTGGTAGAGCATCTTGCAGACGATGATGATGCAGGTCCAGACGGTGGAGAGGCACGAGGCCATGGGGCGGAAGCGGCAGTAGGGCATGGCCAAGGCCCACAGCAGCACCAGCAAGAAGTTCATCACCGAGACCTGGGCCAGAGGCCACGTCAGCACCTCGGGGGGCCCGGCTGAGCCCCCCAACCCCACACCCCCAGGGGTACCTCCTCCAGGGCCACCCAGACGGTGTAGAGAGCCACCAGCTTGAGGACGTGGAGCTCCAGCAGGCGCCTCATGAACACCTCCCCGCGCGTCATCGTGTCCGAGAAGGTCCGGCCCAGCACCACCAGGCGCTCCAGCACCAGCCCCCATTTGTTGGACACTGTGGGGCATGGACCCTCATGGACACCCCAGGACACACCAACCCATCCCCCGTGTCCTCCCCAGTCCGTTCCCACAACCCCCCAACAACCTCCAGCCTCCTCCTGGCTCTGAGGGCATCCCCATCCATCCCTGCATCCTTCCAGACTTGAGGAGACCCCAATAAATCCCTGCACTACGCTGGTCCCAGCCTGGCTTTCAGGACACCCCAAAAACCCCCATGCCCTCCCAGCCCCTTCCTGGCTCAGAGGACGTCCCAGCCCATCCCCATACCCTGCCAGGCTTGAAAACACCCCAATCCATATCCTCAAAGTCAGTTTGCAGGCTTGGAGGATGCTCCAGTCCATCCCCATACCCCCCCACACTCAGATATCACCCCAAATCCATCCCCATACCCTCCCACACTCAGATATCACCCCAAATCCATCTCCCTGCCCCCCCACACTCAGATATCACCCCAAATCCATCCCCATACCCTCCCACACTCAGATATCACCCCAAATCCATCTCCATACCCTCCCACACTCAGATATCAACCCAAATCCATCTCCCTGCCCTCCTACACTCAGATATCACCCCAAATCCATCCCCATACCCTCCCACACTCAGATATCACCCCAAATCCATCTCCCTGCCCCTCCACACTCAGATATCACCCCAAATCCACCTCCCTGCCCCCCCACACTGGGATATCACCCCAAATCCATCCCCATACCCTCCCACACTCATATATCACCCCAAATCCATCCCCATACCCTCCCACACTCAGATATCACCCCAAATCCATCCCCCTGCCACCCCACACTCAGATATCAACCCAAATCCATCTCCATACCCTCCCACACTCAGATATCAACCCAAATCCACCTCCCTGCCCCCCACACTCTGATACCACCCCAAATCCATCTCCCTGCCCCCCCACACTCGGGTATCACCCCAAATCCATCCCCATTCCCTCCACACTCAGATATCACCCCAAATCCATCTCCGTGCCCCCTCACACTCGGCTATCAACCCAAATCCATCTCCCTGCCCCCCCACAGTCAGATATCACCCCAAATCCATCTCCCTGCCCCCCAGGTCCCTCCTGGCTCAGAGGACACCCCCTCCAGCCCGTGCCCCATCCCTGCCCATACCCAGCGAGGCGCTGTCCGGGTCCCGGGGCTGGGCGGTCTCGGCCGCGGCCGCGTCCCGCAGCAGGCGGCTCCCGTGCAGCTCCTCCGACCTGTGGGAAGGGGGCTCAGAGCAGGGACAGGGGGCTCGGGGCGCAGGGGGGTCACCCAGCAGCTGGGCTCCTACCTGGGGATGTGGCAGGGGGCTGGAGAGACGGGGCGGACGTGCTGCAGGTCGGTGAGGAGCATGAAGGGCTCGTGGAAGTAGTGGAGCTGGAGGATGCAGGCCAGCAGGAAGAAACCCATCAGGAGGATGCTGGAGAAGAGCTTGGAGACGCTGAACTGCTCCAGGCCCATGTCGCTCAGCCTGGGTGGGGACAGCAGGGTCATCACGGGGTCTCACCATCCCACCCCAACCTGCCACCGAGCCCCCATGGTCAGGGATGAACCCCAACCTGCTCCGTGCCTCAGTTTCCCCACGTGCCACCCAGCCCTGGTGCCAGCAGGGACCCCACAGTGGGTAGGGGACACTCACTGCTCATCAGTGAGGCCTGTCAGGTTCCTCCAGTACATGGGGAAGTCCTCGAACTGGTAGGTGTAGGTGGCGATGAGCACCAGCATGGTGTAGGCCACCACCAGCCACCAGAAACCCTTGAGCACCTTGCGCCACAGGCTGTAGTACACCTGCAGGGACAGGGACATCAGCAGGGCCACCCTGGGGATAGCCCAGGGCCCCAGGGCTGCCCAGCCCCTCTACCTGGAACAGGATGAGGCAGAGGAGGAAGAGGAGCATGTAGACAATCTTGTAGACGACGAGGCGGCCGGCGAAGGTCACCACGATGAACTTGGCGGCGCAGATGAAGAACCAGAACTTGGCAAAGAAGTTCCTCACCACCTCCCCCAGCTTGTGCAGCACGTCCCGCATCTGGCTGGTATCTGTGGGGGCACAGAGGGGCTGCAGGAGATGGGCAGGGCACTCCTTTTCTGCCACGGGGTGTGTGGCACAGCGTGGGCGAGCCCTCACCCGTGTCACTGGTGGACACCTCCAGCAGCGGCGTGGCCGGGGCTCTCCTCGTTAGCACCTTCTCGGTAACGAAGCGCCGCAGCAGCATCCAGAAGGTGAGGGTGAACAGGAGCTGCGGGGACGGGCGGTGAGCGGGCACGGGCGGGCACGGCAGCACGGGGCCGGGGCGGTGCCACGCTCACCTTGGCACCCAGGGCAATGCAGGGGTAGCTGTGGTGCACCAGCCCCAGCGGCTGCAGCCGCAGGAAGCTGATGTGGGTGGGCAGCTCGGGCACCACGTCCATGGCCCACACGTACTGCAGGCTGCACAGGGCGATGCCGTAGAGCACCAGGAAGGGCGAGCACAGCATGGCGAAGTGCCGCCGGCTCCGCACCGTCCAGATCAGGCACGCCCAGAGCAGCAGCACGAAGGTCAGCCAGCTGTGGTAGGTGATGCTCCACACCTGAGGGCGGCAGGGGTGAGGGTGAGGGACACCAGGTGTCCTCAGCATGGCTCTGTCCCCTCCCCGGGGATGTGTCCCCTCACGGATCTTTACCATCATGGCGATGAGGGCGGACACGTAGCTCTGCTTCATGAGGACGTGGCCCAGGGCGTGCAGGGGCAGCCACAGCGCAGGATGCCTCCTGCCTGGCATGGGGAGAGGGAGCTCAGAGCACCCCCAGCATGTGGGGAGAGGGAGCTCAGAGCACCCCCAAACCCAGGATGTGGGGAGAGGGAGCTCAGAGCACCCCCAAACCCAGGATGTGGGGAGAGGGAGCTCAGAGCACCCCCAGACTGCAGGCAGGGTGTGGGGGAGGGAGCTCAGAGCACCCCCAAACCCAGGGTGTGGGGAGAGGGATCTCAGAGCACCCCCAAACCCAGGCAGGGTGTGGGGAGAGGGAGCTCAGAGCACCCCCAGCATGTGGGGAGAGGGAGCTCAGAGCACCCCCAAACCCAGGATGTGGGGAGAGGGAGCTCAGAGCACCCCCAAACCCAGGCAGGGTGTGGGGAGAGGGAGCTCAGAGCACCCCCAGCATGTGGGGAGAGGGAGCTCAGAGCACCCCCAAACCCAGGATGTGGGGAGAGGGAGCTCAGAGCACCCCCAAACCCGGGCAGGGTGTGGGGAGAGGGAGCTCAGAGCACCCCCAGACTGCAGGCAGGGTGTGGGGAGAGGTAGCACAGAGCACCCCCAAACCCAGGATATGGGGAGAGGGAGCTCAGAGCACCCCCAAACCCAGGACATGGGGAGAGGGAGCTCAGAGCACCCCCAAACCCAGGATGTGGGGAGAGGGAGCTCAGAGCACCCCAAACCCAGGATGTGGGGGGGTCTGGGGTCAGCCTTACGTGCGCTCAAGGTGTGGACGGTGCAGTTCTCGTTGCTGGCACTCGGTTTCCCGGTGTTGGGGCACAGCATGGGCTGAGGGCAGAGAGAGTCAGAGCCCACCCTGGCACCCCCACCCCACACCCCATCCCTGCACAGCCCCCCCAGACCCACCTTGGTGTCCTCGGCCACGCGGTCGGCGTCCTGGGGCCAACTCTCCAGCTCCACCAGGTCCCTGGGCCGTGCCGGTGCCACACCTCTCTGCCAGGGCCAGGAGCCACATCAGGGCACCCACTGCCACCACTGGGGACAGGCACCATGCCCCAGCCCCCTGCCAGGGCACCCCACACTGCGGGCACCCCACTGCCCCACACCTCCCTAGCACCAGGGCCGGCTGCAGCCAGGCACATTGTCACCACTTGTCAGAACTCAAAATGTCCCTCAGACATTTTCAGAGATTCCAGGCCTTGGTCAGAAGCATTTTAGACCCTGGCAAGCAGCTGAAAACAGCTGTGATCTTGAGTTTAAACCATAGAATAAATTACCAACTTTGAAGGTAGAACAAGCGATCACAGAGAGTTAGATAGTATAGTAAAAGTAGTCACAAATTAGAGAGAAAAATTTTTTAGTATTGTACAAAGAGATTTTAGTACCTGTACAGGGGGGTTTTACTTTATACATAGGGGTCAAAAGTTCTAAGATAAAAAAAAGTAAGCCTAATCCTGTTCTTCCTCCTTCTTCTTCCTTACCTCCATGTTCTTAGTAATGTTAACATTTTTCTATTAATTTAAGCTAAAGACACACTGTTCAATGTAAATAATAAATATTAGCACATTATTGTAAATATAATACACGTAGTTTCTAATATATAATGTTTATACCATCCCACTAAGGGGCAGAGCCCCGCACACTGCCCTGCAAAACAAACCTACAGCAAGGCAACAAAACATGTTAGAGATAAGCAAAAATAAACAACCTTAAAAACAGCACAAACAAATTATAGCTTCTTCTTTAACAACAAAGCAAAAAAATAAAAACTTTCTACAATCTCAAAATCACCAATACCCTCAAATTCCAACAACCACTGCCACCACTGTCACCACTATCACCACCAGGGTCTGGCTCAGCCCTGCAGCCCCTCACCTTGGCCTCCCGCCAGCGCAGCTTCACCAGGGTGGCCACGGTGTAGTAGAGCAGCAGCAGGATGCCAGGGTTGGTGTAGACAAACCAGGGGTAGCTGCTGTTGAGCTCCAGGGTGTTGGGCTGGGAGCAGTTGTAGTACAGGATGATGTCCTTGAAGCCAAACACCCTGTGGGGACAGAGGAGGTGGCATCAACCCCCCCAGTCAGGAGCAGGAGCCACAGTCCCGTCGCTGTGCTGGCACCAGAGGGATGCTCGGGCTGCTCTCCCCAGGGTGGGACCCCTCGGGGGGACCCCGGGCACAGCCCCCTCCCCAGGGACTCACCGTGCCCAGATGGTGGGCGGTGGGAAGACCCCCTGGACGAAGGGGGTCTGGTAGGCATAGAGGCAGAGCAGGTGGCAGGCGCTGTAGATGCCCACGAGGACGCAGAAGGCGTTGAAGACCCGGTGGCTGGTGGGGAGGTGACAGGCCCACCATGTGCACAGCCCCATGAAGAGCAGGAAGTAGACGCTGGAGGAGGCGGAGGGCAGGATGATCCCTGTGATTTATTTAAAAAATATGGATATTGATCTAGTACCTATATCTAACTGTGACAGACAAAAACTCTCTAACAGTTTAAAGTTAGAAAGTGTGTGTTTATTGTGTGTGGGATCTCCCAAATCCACACCACAGCCTCCAGGTGATTACAGAGTCTTTTTATCCATCCAAGTATTGAATACCCAAAATACAAATGCATATTCATCATTTTGGTACATCCCATTTCTCATTTCAAAAGCCATTCAGCATGTGAGGTTTGTTCCTTGAAATGGGTCAGTGTCCCTTTCATGGGGAGGGGTCCCAAAATGAGGAAGTAAATTAAGTCTTCCTCGTTCTGACCTTTCTACCTTTTCAATGCAAATATGACAAATGAACTCTTGGTAGAACTCCATTCCTTGTCTCCAGTTGGTTTCAGAACAGAGGAGGCCACAATTGTCTTATGTTCCTAAAAGCTCTTTGTCAGTTTGTGTATTCTTCATTATAAACCCAGCTAACTAAACATTGTGCTGCCAAGCAATCAGTTATTAGTTAACTACTAACTCCTAACTTCATCAAGGCCTACTCATTTATTATTCTTATTTTAATTAACTCTAGTAAGGCTTATTTCTAACTAAAATCTTAGCTCCTCTAAATCTCTAAATGCCTTAAAGTTTACGTTTCACCTGGGGAGCATCCTTCCCCCTTGCAGGGAGTTTTCCACCTTGGATCGAGCATCTCCTTCCTCTTGGTCCAAGCCTCTAAATGCTCTTTAGAGACTCTTCCTCTTTGGACTCTAAATCCATCCTCGGACCACGCCTGGAATCAGCATCCTCCCTCCCTCCTTGGGCTGAGCATCCCCTCCCTCCCCAGCCCAGGCATCTTTTCCTGCACAGAGCAAAGCCTTTGATGCCCAGAGCGAGCAGCTCTCCCCAGGGCTGAGATTCCTCCCTTGGATCCAACATTCTCCCCTTTTTTCCTCCTCAGCCCAGACATCTTTTCCTGCACAGAGCAAAACCTGTGACACTCAGAGCGAGCAGCTCTCCCTGGGCTGGGATTCCTCCCTTGGATCCAACACTCTCCCCCTTTTTCCTTGCACTGTTTTCCTCCCCAGCCCAGGCACCTTTTCCTGCACAGAGCAAAGCCTGTGACACTCAGAGCGAGCAGCTCTCCCCTGGGCTGAGATTCCTCCTTTGGATCCAACATTCTCCCCCTTTTTCCTTACACCATTTCCCTCCCCAGCCCAGGCATCTTTTCCTGCACAGAGCAAAGTTTGACTCTCAGAGCGAGCAGCTCTTCCCTGGGCTAAGATTCCTCCCTTGGATCCAACATTCTCCCCTTTTTCCTGCACAGAGCAAAGCCTTTGATACCCAGAGCGAGCAGCTCTACCTGGGCTGAGATTCCTCCCTTGGATCCAACATTCTCCCCTTTTTCCTCTCACCGTCTCCCTCCTCACCAGCATCCCTCCCACCACGCCCCAAACATCTTCCCCTCAAACCGAGCATCCCAACCACCCCACACCGAGCCTCCCCCTCCTCAGCCCGCCCCAACGTCCCCCCCAGGCCGTGCCCACCTGCCAGGGCCAGCAGCAGGATGGCCATGCCTTTGCCAGCCTCCCAGAGCAGGGAGTGAGCTTTGTCCCTCAGCCTGTTCCGCAGCCGCGTCTCCCTGGGTGCTGCACGCCGCTGCCGCCCCGCATCCCTTTCCTCCCTCTGCCAGGGAAAAACGGGCTGCTGTCATCTCCCTGACCCCATCCCGGGCAGCTGCTGGCCGTGCCTCAGTTTCCCCGCTCTGCAGAGGGCAGGGGTGGCCGGCCAGGCTGGCTCGGTGCCCGGCACTGCCCGTGTTTATCCCGCCCTGGCTCTGGCAGATGGGTGCCAGCACTCAGATTTTCTCCAGGCTCCCTCCCGTCCGTGCTGGCCCTGCTCTGGTTACAGCCAGGGGGGCTGGGGGACCCCCAGAGTGGGGCTGGGGGTGCCACTGGGGTGCCACGGGCACGGTGTCCCCGTCAGCTGCTGGCACTGCCAGGTGGGGCTGGCATGGCACAGCACCCAGCCCTGCACCAGTGAGCTCCAGCACCCCATAACTGCCCACCCATAACTGCCCATCCCATCACTGCCCACCCTACAACTGCCCACCCCATACCTGCCCACCCCACAAGTGCCCACCCCACAAGTGCCCACCCCATCACTGCCCACCCCATACCTGCCCAGCCCATGACTGCCCACCCCATAAGTGCCCACCCCATACCTGCCACCCCATGACTGCCACCCCATGACTGCCCACCCCATGACTGCCCACCCCATACCTGCCCAACCCACCCACCCCACAAGTGCCCACCCCATACCTGCCCACCCCATCACTGCCCACCCCATACCTGCCCAGCCCATGACTGCCCACCCCATACGTGCCCACCCCATACCTGCCCACCCCATGATTGCCCACCCCATGATTGCCCACCCCACAACTGCCCACCCCACTGTTTGCCACGATCCCCGTGGCAATGCCACAGCAAACACGGCCACTCCTCCATGGCTGAGTCACCCTAAGCAGTGTGACAATGACTGAGCCCTCCCAGCTGGCCCAAACTGCCCCAAAGTGTGTCCCCACCCCCTGGGGGTGTCCCCATGCCAAGCCCCGCTGTGCCCAGGCAGACAGGCTGGCAGGTCCCGGTGGGCTGTGGGTGGTGGGATGTCCCCGTGGCACTGGGGGTGGCTCTCACCCACTCAGAGCTCTCCAGGGACTCGGGATCCCCTCTGGAGCTGGCACGGCCCAGGCGGCTGCACAGGCACAGGGACAGGGACGACACCAGCAGGATGCCAACGTCGGGTGCCACCAGCCTCACCGAGTTGGGAATGTCCCTCAGATCCAGCCTGGGGGGGACAGCGAGGCAGGGGAGGGCTCAGGGGTGACCCCCAGCCGCTGCCACCCCCCAGCCCCACAGGTCAGGGTGGCCTTACCTGGTGATCCCAATGTGGCGAGCAAGGACCTCCCAGGAGCTGCCTGTGGGGAGGAGGGGGGCACTGAGGGGGCAGAGCCCGTGGGGCATCCATGCCAGGGCAGGATGGGCTCTGCACCAGCAGACACCCCGGGTGGCACGGGATGTCCCCGAGGTGGCACGGGACACCCCCTGAGGTGGCACAGGACGTCCCCTGAGGTGGCACAGGACGTCCCCTGAGGTGGCACAGGACATCCCCTGAGGTGGCACAGGACATCCCCTGAGGTGGCATGGGACACCCCCTGAGGTGGCACGGGACACCCCCTGAGGTGGCACAGGACATCCCCTGGGCACGGGACGGCCCCTGAGGTGGCACAGGACGGCCCCTGAGGTGGCACAGGATGTCCCCTGAGGTGGCACGGGATGTCCCCTGAGGTGGCACGGGATGTCCCCTGAGGTGGCACGGGACACCCCCTGAGGTGGCACGGGACACCCCCTGAGGTGGCACACGGCTGGGACCCCACAGAGCCCCAGCAGGACGGGTCCCACGTGTCACCAGCTTGAGGCTGCAGCCCCAGGGCAGCACAGAGAGCGGGGCTGTGGGTGGGTGGGTGGGTGAGGGTGGGCAGTTATGGGGTGGGCACCCCCTACTCACAGTTGGGCTCCAGCAGCTGCTCCAGGAGGGGCAGCGTGTAGAGGCATATCTGGAAAACCAGCTGGGCCAGGAGGAAGAGGATGCTGGTGCCCAGCAGGGCTTTGATGATGCGGCTGGTGTGACCTGCAAGACACGGGCAAAGCTGCCACCCACCAGCCAAGGACACCAGAACACCCCTGGGAGGGCTCCAGGGGTCCCCATCCCTGCTGGAACACCCATGGAAGGGCTCCAGAGGTCCCCATCCCTGCTGGAACACCCGTGGGAGAGCTCCAGGGGTCCCCATTCCTGCTGGAACACCCATGGAAAGGCTCCAGGGGTCCCCATCCCTGCTGGAACACCCCATGGAAAGGCTCCAGGGGTCCCCATCCCTGCTGGAACACCCATAGAAGGGCTCCAGGGGTCCCCATCCCTGCTGGAACACCCCATGGGAGAGCTCCAGGGGGCTCCAGGGGTCCCCATCCCTGCTGGAACACCCCTGGGAGAGCTTCAGGGGTCCCCATCCCTGCTGGAACACCCCATGGGAGGGCTCCAGGGGTCCCCCCACTCCACACCCGTCAGCCCTTCCAGCAGCTGTGGCCGTGCCCCCATCCCACCCGCCTCTCCGGGCCCCGTGCCCGTTTTCCTGGCCAGGGGGTGGGGTGGGCAGCGTGCCAACCCCAGCTGTGAGCTGCCTGGGGGCGGCCCCGGGCCAGCAGCTTTCCCTGCCCTTGTTTTTTCCTGTAAATCCCGGCAAAGGCTCTCGGCAGTGCCGGGATGCGGGGCCGGGCAAGCCCATGAAATATTCAGAGGGTAAAGCTTTTAGCCGTGGCCGTGCCAGCGCTGGGGTGGGCACAGGGGGGCTGTGGGTCACCCTGAGGCCACCCTGATGCCCGGGAAGGGTGGAGGGGCTGCTCGTGGTGTGCCCACACCGCCCAGCCAGGAGGTTTTTGGTTAATAGGGTTCCATCCCCACCCTTGTGGGCCACCAGGGTTATTAATAACCCCGCTGGGCTATAATTAACAGAGAGAGGCTCCACACGGAGCCACGCTGCCCAGGCGGGGTGAAACCGCAGCCAAGGTGCCCGTGGGAGGGCACAGGGGGGTGGCAGCTGCCCTGCTGCCCACCCACCCCCCCCCAATGCCAGCCCTGCACCCCAAGGTGAGCCCCTTACCTGTGGTGAAGCGCGGGGAGGGCCCCGGGAACCAGGGCAGGAGCAGCAGGAAGAGCAGGTACACCAGGGACAGGGCGTTGTAGCGGAACAGGCAGGCTGGGGACAGAGGGACAGGCTTGGTGACAGCCACGGGGCACAGCGAGGGCTCACAGCTGCACCCCACCCCAAAAGGACACAGCCCGAAATGCCAGGCGGTGCTGGGTGATGCCAGGTAAGACAAGGGGGCAAACCACAAAAAAGTGACACCAGAAAGAGGGACACGTGCCACTCCTGGGGACCCACACGGGTGACAAGGACAAGAGGGGACAGCAGAGGTCCCAAACACGTGGGGTGACAGGGGAAGAAGGGCCATGAGTGGGTTTCCACACCACTGCCACCAAACCAGGCTGAGCATGGCAGGGACCCCACGGCCGGGGTGGCACCCCCACCCGTGACCCCTGGCACAGCTGGCACAGCCCCTGCCCCCAGCCCTGCTCTGGCTGGGCCACGAGCTCGGCACCTTCCCCCTCACTTATTTTTAGACCTAAATTACAGCTTGTTTGGAGGAGCCGGGCCGAGGCAGCGCCCTGCGGGGACAGGCGTGGGGACAGGGACGTGGGGACAGGGACATGGGGACAGGCATGGGGACAGGGATATGGGGACAGGGACGTGGCACCTGTCACCCCGGAGGGGACTCAGCGTTCCTGTCACCACGGTGACAGTGACAGACACCGGCACATGCACCCACGGGCCAGCAGCACCAGGACACCCCCAGGACAATGCCACCAGCACGGTCAGCCCAGGGAGGGGACAGCCACCGGGAACTGGTGCTGGTGACCCCGGCTGTCCCCGTGCCACGGAGCCGCTCCCTTTGGCACCCCACGGGGGAAGGGGTGACACGGGTGGCTCAGCCGTGACCCGGCCGGGCGCCAGGGACACGCTCAGCTCCACAGCCCGGCCCAGCCCTTCCTGTGTTTACCGGGTTTCAATGGGACAACACATCCTGGGGACAGCGACAGCAATGGGACAACACATCCTGGGGACAGGGACAGGGACAGCGCGGCCAGGGGGGGACACAACGCCGAGGACAGCGGGACACCCTCGTGGGGAGCGCCAGGAACACGGGGTAAAACCAGCCCCAGCCCCCAGTTGGGGTCCCCAGGTGTCCCCAAAGCTGTGGGGCACAGCCTGGCCCCAAGCGGGGCTGGGGGGCTCCAGGACCGCCACCAGCCGCCACCTCCCCGCGGTGACCCCGGGACACGCCACCTCCCGAGGGCTCCTGGCTGTTTCCACGGCTGTTTCGGCAAAGTGTGATCTCATGGAGCAAATATTCCAGCCGAGAGGAGCCTTCCCGGCACGGGGGCGAGCGGCTGTGCGGCTTCCGTGGGAGCCGGGCACGGCCCCACGGCCACGGGCACACAGCGGTGCCAGCGGTGCCAGCGGTGCCACCCACCCCGGGGTGACGGTGACACAGCCACAGCCACGTCCTGGGCACTGCTGGCATCCAGGGCACGGCTGGGAATCACAGTGACAACACAATTATTGCTGGGCATCAGGGGTACCCACCCGCTGCCCCCGTTATTTGGTGCCACCTGCACCCCAAGGACCCTCTGGCTGGCAGCTCACCCTGCACCCATCCCCAGGAAACCTCCCAGAAGTGATGGATGGCTTCAAAAGAGGGAAAGGAGGTGGTGGCAGGTGACAGGATGGTTTGGGGGCACCCTCAGAGCCCAGCCTGGCACCCCCTGGTGCAGCGGGGCGTGCCCGGGGTGCCCGCGATGCGTGGGTGCTCCGTGGAGGGAGGGAACCGGTTCCCCGCGGTGCTGACAGCGGGGAAAGCGGCGGCACAGGGAGAAAAACCAGTTTGGCCTGTGGGGAGAGCAAACCCGCCCTCCAGAGCCGTGGGTGCAGCCACAGCCCCCTCCCCACGCAAGCAGTGCCCTCGCCCACCACCCCCGGCGAGACCGCTGGGCGCTCACCTCGTCCCTGAAACCTAAACTTTAAAGAATTTAGAGATTTTAGAGGAGCTAAGATTTTAGTTAGAAATAAGCCTTACTAATTAAAATAATACTAATAAATGAGTAGGCCTTGATGAAGTTAGGAGTTAGTAGTTAACTAATAACTGATTGCTTGGCAGCACAATGTTTAGTTAGCTTGGTTTATAATGAAGAATACACAAACTAACAAAGAGCTTTTAGGAACATCAGACAATTGTGGCCTCCTCTGTTCTGAAACCAACTGGAGACAAGGAATGGGAGTTCTACCAAGAGTTCATTTGTCATATTGGCATTGAAAAGGCAGAAAGGTCAGAACGAGGAAGACTTAATTTACTTCCTCATTTTGGGACCCCTCCCCATGAAAGGGACACCGACCCATTTCAAGGAACAAACCACACATGCTGAATGGCTTTTGGAGTGATTGGCACAGGAAGTGAGGGATGGGATGCACCAAAATGATGAATATGCATTTGTATTTTGGGTATTCAATACTTGTATGGATAAAAGGGCTCTGTAATCACCTGAGAGGTGCAGTGTGGATTTGGGAGATCCCACACACAATAAACATTCACTTTCTAAACTGTTAGAGAGATTTGTCCCTCACAGCTCGATATCGGTACTAGATCAATATCCATATTTTTTAATAAATCACCCCTAAGGTGGACTGGCACCCCAATTCCTGCCTGCCCAGCCCCGTGACCCCAGAGTAGCTCCCACACAGGTCACCAGCACCGGCAGCACATTAAATATTAACGACGTTAATGAGCTGGGATAGGATAAATTACAGCACTGGGACGTGCCGGGGTTCCTCCACGCCAACCCTAATTGGATATCCCCTGTGGGAGGGGATTGGGGTCACTGGGCACCCCTGGCAAAGTGGGGGCAGCCAGCGGGAGTGGGCACAGCGGGTGCCTGGGAGGAGGGTTGGGGTCTGGCACAGCCCCTCCCTGCACACCGGGCACCATCCCATGCCCAGCCAGCTTCCAGCATGGATCCATCCCTGCTGGTTGGGATGAGGGGGTTCCCCAGACCCCCGGAGCTGGGGGAGCCCCACACACCAGCCTTGCACCCACACCACGCTCAGCACCTGCTCTGCAGGACCTGCAGCCACTCAGGATTAATTAGCAGAGCTCCTTAATTCCCTGCCCTGCTCCCTCACACGGGCCCGTTACCTGCTGCCAGGGCTCTGCCAAGTTAATGCCAAGGCCACCAGCCCCAACAGGGTCCCCAAGGTGTCACTTTGCTCCCAGGACTCTGCACCCGCTGGCTGCAATCCAGAGGCAGGGTGAGGAACCCAGAGGCCTCATCCCAAAATCCCACCAGCGTGGCTCTTCCTATCCCAAAATCCCACCAGGGTGGCTCTTCCTATCCCAAAATCCCACCAGCGTGGCTCTTCCTATCCCAAAATCCCACCAGCGTGGCTCTTCCTATCCCAAAATCCCACCAGGGTGGCTCTTCCTATCCCAAAATCCCACGAGTGGCTCTTCCCATCCCAAAATCCCACCAGCCCCAAAGCAACAAGCCCTCGGGCAAGCAGAACTGCCAGCCCCAGCCCCTCTCTCCAGGAAAGAACAGCCCCACAGGGTCACCCCCCATATCCTGTTTTTGTGGAAAGCTGATCCCAGCTCCGACCCTGCTCCCGGGAATGCCGCAGGAGATGCCCCAGGAGGGCTCTGGGCCGGGTGCCAGCGTGTGCCAGGGCTGCCAGCCCAGTAAATCCCAGTAGCAGCCAGCAGCTCGTGCCAGGGGACAAGTGTCAGGGACACCCCTTGCCCTGGCACGCGCCAGGAGGGCCCAGCCCGTGCCAAGGGCTCCCGGAGCTGCAGGCTGAGCACTGGGACACGGCAGGACACGCATTCCCAGAGCCACCAACCCTCCCAGCATGACCCTGGCAGTGCCAGGCAGTGCCCAAATTCTGCTGTCCTCACCCAAATGGGACCTGCTGCACCCAAGGGAGCCCCCACCTCACTGGGGCTGTGGGGGCTCAGTCCTGGCAGCCGGGGGTGCATCTCTATCCCATCTTATGCTGCCACCCCATCCCCTCCCCTCCCCCAGCACCAGGAGGAAGCAGCAGTTATTGCTCTTGGAGACAGCGGTGGCTTTGCTGCTTTTTTTGTTTTAATTTTTATTTTTTTATAGTTTTTTTTTCCTCCTCTATTTTATTTCCCGGGGTTTTATAAAAAGCACCTGACCACAGCAGGCAGCTGCAGCAGCCCACGCTGCACCCAGCTGGGCTCCAGCCCTGCGGCACCTGGGACCCCCAGGGACCCCCCCCCAGCACCCTGGCGGGGCATGGGGGGCTGTACCCCCACACCAGGGGGTTCAGGGGGGCACCGCAGCCCCACAGAGGGGGTGCCACCCTTCCCCATCACCTCTGCCCACGGATCAGCGTGGCACGAGTGGCACTGGGGGTGCCCGGTCCCATCTCGTGGGGATGTGCTGTGCCCCCCGTGGCACCCCGAAATCCGGGCAGGGAGGATGGAGCCGAGGTGGGGACACAGCCCAGGGCACGGGGGGCACGGGGGGCACGGGGGGCACGCCCGGTGCCTCCCCCCGCCCCGAGCCGACCGGGAGCCGCCAGCAAACATCCTGCGGACGTTCGGGAGAGCCGAGGAGGAAGGGAAGGAAGGGTCAAACCCTGCCCGGTGCCACGGGGCAAAGCTCCCACCCACCCACGGGCGGCGGGACGAGCCGCGCCCCCCGTGCCTCAGTTTCCCCCGGTGCTCCTGCGGGACCCCCGGGCGCTGCTGAGTCACCCCCCCCGCAAACAAGCGGAGCACGACCGACACCCCGCCCAAACCGGGCCCCGAATTTAAACACGCCACCGACAAGCCCAGCGTGGGGAGGGGACAGCGAGGCCACCGGTGTCCCCACCCGTGGGGGACCGGGTGACCCCAGCGTACCCCGTGGTGGGGTAAAGCGGCAGAGCCAAGCAAGGCAGGCGGGATTTGGGGCCAAAACAGGAGGATTCGGGGCAGGAGGGCCCCGCGGGAGGCCGGCCCGAGGCCACGTGTCGCCGCGGGCACCCATGGGTGCCGCCGGCAGCTCCGCGCCCCGGGACCGCCGCTGCCCCCGGGCCGGGCAGCGCAGCCCCCGCTCCCCTCCCGGGCTGGGTTATGGTTATAATTATAATTAACCTCCTGACATCCTGCGCGATGCTCTGACTCACTGCCCCGGCAAAGCGAAGGGAAAAAAAGCAGCTTTTTCTACAGTCACCGACTTCCTCCGCCAGCGAGGCTTTGGCCGCGGGCTGCACCCCGAAACCCAACCCCGCTCCCCAAAACACAGCCGGGAAGGAACGGCGCTGCTCGGCCGGACCAGCCTCCCTCGGCCGGAGCGGGTCCCTCTCTCTCCAGGTGACAGTGTCCCAAAAGTCCTTCTAGGGGCACCCCAAAAGCCATGCCCGAGCTCAGGGGCCCCCCAGCACAGCAAACAGCCCCGGCACAAGGAGCCCCCCGAACAATCCTCGCTATAAAGAGATTTTTCCTTTGCCTTTACGCAAACGCAGCGTCCCCGGCTTCAAAGAGCCGATTCTTGTCCCGGGACACGGGGATTTTCCAGGCCGGTGGCCAGCCGGTTGCCTCGGTGGGTGGCACATCTGCCATCAAAGCGCGACAGTGCTGGGAACGGGCTGGTGGCAGCCTGGGGACCGCAGAGCCACCGGGGCTGGGCTGGGCACGCTGCTAGCCGGGCATGGGGACGGGATGGGTGCCAGCTGCCACCCCGTGTGGCGACACGGCCGTGTCCCACTGGGTCACCTGCAGCCCGGACAGCGGGACACGCACACGCCGCGTCCCGCCCGGAGGAAGCGGCAGCGCTCCCCGCGAGTGGGGCTCGGTCACGGGTGGAACCGCAGCACCGGGGCCCCCCCTCCGCCGCGGTTCCCGGTGCACGGACCCGCTCACCCCTCGCTCGCCTTCCCGGTGCTTCCCGCGCCCCACGTGCCACCGGGACACCCCCGGGACGACTCCACGCACCGGGGTCACCTTTCGGGGGGATCCCCGCACTTACCGGCGAGCAGAGCGAGCGGCAGCAGCAGCCAGTAGAGCCCCGCGCAGAGCCCCCGCCGCCGGTTCATCCCGCCCGGGGGGGCCCGGCCCGAGCCGCTCCGAGCCGGGCTGGGCTGGGCAGGCCCCGGTACCGACGCCGCTGCCCCGGTGCCGCGGCGCTCCCGAGGCGCTGCCCCCGCCCCGCGCCCGCCGCTTTATAAAGCGGCACCGCCCGCCCCCCGCCCGCGGGGCCGGCGCGGCCCCAGCGCCGCCCGCCGGTACCGGCACCGCCACCGGCACCGCCACCGGCACCGCCACGGGTTGTCCGGGCTCGGCACGGGCCCCCGCAGCCCCCCGGGTCAAGGGGGGAAAAAAATATATCGACTCAAAAGGAAAAAATAAGGGAAAAAAGGAAAGAAATATAAGCAGATGTGTTTCGTGTTTGTTTCGTCCGAAAATGAAGTGAAAGTCAGAGTTAGTTTTTGTTGGGTGTTTGTTGTTGATAGCAGGGTGGAGAGGTGCTGCTGGAGTGGGGAGCTCGGGAGGCTCCCCCAGGAGCTGATGGGCAGCCCTGGAGATGGGTGCTGTGTTCCTGGAGCTGGGTGCTGTGTCCGTGGAGCTGGGTGCTGTGTTCCTGGAGCTGGGAACCATCCCATGGTGTGTCCCTGGCACCAGGGAACCCCTGTGTTCCTGGAGCTGGGTGCTGTGTCCCTGGCACCGGGGAACCACCCCATGGTGTGTCCCTGGCACTGGGAACCATCCTGTGTCCCTGGAGCTGGGTGCTGTGTCCCTGGCACCAGGGAATTGTCCCATGTTCCTGGCACTGGGTGCTGTGTCCCTGGCACTGGGAACCATCCTGTGTTCCTGGAGCTGGGTGCTGTGTCCCTGGCACTGGGGAACCATCCTGTGTCCCTGGCACTGGGTGCTGTGTCCCTGGCACCAGGGAACCACCCCATGCTGTGTCCCTGGCACCAGGGAACTGTCCCATGTTCCTGGAGCTGGGTGCTGTGTCCCTGGCACTGGGTGCTGTGTCCCTGGAGCTGGGTCCCTGATCCCTGGCACCAGGGAACCATCCTGTGTCCCTGGCACTGGGAACCATCCCATGGTGTGTCCCTGGCACTGGGGAACCATCCTGTGTTCCTGGAGCTGGGTGCTGTCTCCCTGGCACCAGGGAACCATCCTGTGTCCCTGGCACTGGGAACCATCCCATGGTGTGTCCCTGGCACTGGGGAACCATCCTGTGTTCCTGGAGCTGGGTGCTGTCTCCCTGGCACCAGGGAACCATTCTGTGTCCCTGGAGCTGGGTGCTGTGTCCCTGGCACTGGGTGCAGTGTCCCTGGCACCACGGAACCATCCTGTGTCCCTGGCACTGGGTGCTGTGTCCCTGGAGCTGGGTGCTGTGTCCCTGGCACTGGGTGCTGTGTCCCTGGCACTGGGAACCATCCTGTGTCCCTGGCACCAGGGAACCCACACCCCATGGAACTGGGAGCCCAGAGTGGGGAGTTGGGGTCACATCTGGGGCTGGGCTGTCTCAGTCCCAATCCCAGCCCGAATCCCGGTGGGTCCCGCCGGGCACAGCTGGTGGCACGGGACGCCTGGCAGAGCTGGGAACCACCGGCCTCCAGCAGGAACCACTGGCCCATGAAATTCTCCACATTCCTTGGCTTCCCTGCACTTCTTGTTTTCCCAACACGGTGAATAAACTGGCATCCAGCTGGCACACCGCCGGACTGCTCCCCACTCTCCTCTGGGCTCCCTCCAGAATTCCAGGGCCTCTCCTCCCCACCCCAAACGTGCCCAAGTGCTGCCATCCAGGCAGCCGTGCCCACAGCACAACCCCCAAGCCAGGATGGGCCTGATGGCTCCCAAATGTGTGTATCCATGGGTTTGGTGGGCACAGCCCCTCGTGGGGGCATCCTTATCACGGGGACTCAGCTGCATCCGCCCTCACCGCTGGGATCCGGAGGGAGCTGCTGGTGTGAGTGAAACACAATTCTGGTGTAAATTAAAAACTTAACACCACATCCACGAGACCTGGGTATGGGAATTACCCCTGCCAACACCTCGGGGCACCCCCCAGCCAGCAGGGATCCAGGAAAGATCCAGGAAAAGGCGGTGCAGGTACCCGCAGCAGCCTCTCGCTCCCCCCCAGCCCTGCAAACCCGCAGGCAGGCGGGGAACGGAGGCTGTGGAAGCAAATGGGCACCGGGAATGGCACCCCAGAGCCCTGCCCTGCCCGGAGCACTTTGCCAGCCTCGCTCAGCTTTTACAAGGGATGGGGGAGACTCAGTAAAGTGCTGCGGGCACGGCCTGAGTGCCTGGCAGTGATGGGCAGGAGGTTTCTCCCAGCTCCGGGCACTGCCAGCGGCGCAGGGACAGGCGTGGGGCAGGAATAGCGGGTGGGGGACGCTGCAGGAGCTCCCGGAGCCCCTCGTTCCTATGGCTGCACCCCGGAGGGTCTCCAGGGCTTGGCCCCACTGCGGGGGACCACCAGCAGCATTCCGGATTGAAATTCCCGGCTTTTCCCCCACTAGCCCAGCCGGAGTGCTGCTGCTGCTCCCCGCCCCAGCGAGGCCGGAGCCCGCCGGAGCCCCCCGGAGCCCCCCGGAGCCCCCCGGAGCCCCCCGGTCCCCCCGGGTCCCCCCACGTGCAGCAGCGCTCCGAGGGCCGCGGCCCCTTTAAGAGCCGAGTGGCGCCAAACCCGCTCACGTGACCGCGCCCCGCCCCCCCGGTGGGCGGGGCCTCGGCGCGCGGGCTCCCGCCAAGAGAGAAGCGCGCGGGACCGGCCCCACGTGGTCTGGACGGGACCGGGACCGGGACCGGAACCGGAACCGGGACCGGGATCCGGACCGGGACGGAGATCGGGACCGGGATCGTGACCAGAACCGGGATCCGGACCGGGACCGTGATCAGGACCAGGACCGGGATCGTGACCGGGATCCGGGATCGTGACCGGGATCGTGACCAGGACCGGGATCCGGACCGGGATCGTGACCAGGACCGGGACCGGGATCCGGACCGGGATCAGGATCAAGACCGCGGCCATGGCCCAGCTCCGCCTCACCGACTTCTTCAGCCAGACAAAAGCGACCCCCGGAGCCCCGGCCAAGCGCAGCGGCGGCCGCCCGCTCAAGGCCGCCCTCGCCGCTCCCCCGGTGCACCGGGAGGAGGAGGAGGATGGTGTCCCGGCGGGGCTCAGCGCCCGCTCGCCGCCGCTGCCCGGCTCGCCGCGCACCCCGGCCCGCGGGGGCCGCCCGGTGCTGCGGGGCATGGCGGGCAGGAAGCGGAGCCGCCGGGACATGGAAGCGGAGTCGCCGCTCGGGGCCCGGCTCGGGGAACCGAGCGGAAAGTCGGCGCGGAAGAGGCTGGAGCTGCCCCGGGATGCGGAGCCGGGGTCTCCGGGAGCGGTAGGGAGGTGGTGGGGTCGGGGATGCGGCCCTGAAATGGGATGGGGGAGGATGAGGGCGTGGGGCAGTGAGTGGGTGCGTGTGGAGCCATAAAACAACAGCCCCGCCAGTGCTGGACCCCATTTCCCCGTGCAGGACCCCCCGAACTTACCTCCCCTTCTCCTCATTCACAATCCCCCCCTCACCGGGACTTAACCCTGCCCCAAGTGCACGAACCCCAAAACTCACCCCCTTCAGCCCCACTGCCCCTATTGCGGACCCCTCTGTGGCTCCCCCCTCCCAGTGCGAGATTTTGGGGGGCACAGGGGAAGGGATCCGGATAATCCCTGACTCTCCTCTCTCTTGCAGGCCACCAGCTCCTCGCCTCTGGCCACTCCTGGACCCCCAACCCCCGTGTCACAGGACGTGGCCGTGTCCCCCGCGGGCCGTGGGCAGGACACGGGGCCGGCCCGGCGCCTGCAGCGGGTACGGGCTGATCCCGGCGCGGGTGGCTTCGGTGCCGCGTGTCCCGCTCTGACCCCATGTCCCCTCCCTGCCCAGGAGGACGTGGCCGAGCTGCAGGGCCGCCTGCAGAGGATGAAGGTGCTGGGCCAGGTCCCCTCTGTCCCCAGCGGGACCAGCGGTGAGCTGCGGAGCCGCCTGGAGCGGGTGCGGCAGCTGGAGCTGCGCGCCCGGCAGAGGAGAGCGGCCACCGGGGACACCGGGGACACCGGGGACAGCGGGGTGGCAGATCCTCAGGGACACACCGGGTGAGGAGCAGCTGCAGGAGGGATTTGAGGAGACTACCACGGCCCTGAAGTGGTTTTGTGAGGGTGTGGGGGCTCTGAGCGCTGTGACACCGATGTCCCAAGTGATGTGACCTCGATATCTCCTCAGAGAAGGGGTGAGGGTGGGAGCTGGGCGCTGTGTCAGCACCCTGAGCCCCTCCTGTCCTTCCCCACAGCCAGCAGCCCCCGGCCTACCAGCGCTTCCACAGCCTGGCCCAGGACCTGCCCCCGGGGCTGACGCTGCCCTACAAGTTCAGGGTGCTGGCAGAGATGTTCCGCAGCGTGGACACCATCGCCGGGATGCTCTTCAACCGCGCCGAGACCGTCACCTTCGCCAAGGTCAAGCAGGGCGTGCAGGACATGATGCGCAGGTGAGTCAGCCCGGTTTGGGGTCCCAGCAGCCCGGTTTGGGGTCCCAGCTGAAGCTCTGGGGGTCCCCAACCTCTGTGGTGCTGTACAGGCAGTTTGAGGAGCAGCATTTGGGGCAGATCAAGGCCGTGTACCCCAACTCGTACCGGCTGCGGCAGGAGAAGAACATCCCCACCCTCAGCAGCGGTGGAAAGAAGTCTGAGTACCAGCTGACACTGGAGCCAGTCCTGGGGGAAGGTATGGATGGTTTTGGGGTGCCTGAGAGCTGGGGTACGCTCAGTGCTGGCTGCTCCCTGAATCCATAGGGATGCTGTCTGCTTGGTCCATTAAATGGAGCTTCTGAACGTGTTGGAAGTGGGAAACACTTTGGGACAGGAGGGACAGTGTCCAGGCAGCGACTGAGCTCCGTGGCAGGGCTGTGATCCTGTCCCTCCGTGGTTTGTGTGGGTGACACTGGTGTCCCTCCTGGCAGAGGAGAAGGTGGATGGGCGCCCGCACCTGTCGGCATCACGGCTGCTGGAGCGCCGGAGGGAATTCCACCGCAACCTGGTGAACATCGTCAGGGAGCACCACAAGGTGAGGGGCACCTGGCACCCCCTGCGCCGGGGTTGTCACTGGTGCCATCCAGGCTGAAGGACACGGAGGTTCCTCCTGGAGGTGGGCTCTGAATTGGCTCCCTGTGTCACCAAGCCGTGCTGGGAGCGCGGGGCAGCGGCTGCCTCTCCGTTCCTGGTGCCGTGGCACAGCTCTCACCCCTCTCCAGGCATTCCTGGCTGCCCTCAGCCCTCCCATGGTGGTGCCAGAGGAGAAGCTGACCCGCTGGCATCCCCGCTTCAACGTGGACGAGGTGCCGGACATCAGCCCCGCGGAGCTGCCGCGGCCGCCGCACGAGGACAGGCTGAGCACGGCGCAGGAGGTGCTGAGCGCGGCCCGGGGCATGCTGAGCCCCAAGGTGAGGCAGGGCCAGGGGCTGGCACCGACTCTGCCACCTCTGGGAAGGTGTGGGTGGCTTCCCACTGCCAGAGGGCAGGGGTAGGTGGGATAGTGGGAAGGAATTACGGGCACAGGTGGCCAGAGAAGCTGTGGTTGTGCCATCCCTGGAAGTGTCCAAGGGCAGGTTGGATGGGGCTTGGAGAAAGCTGGGCTAGCAGAAGGTGTCCCTGCCCAGGGCAGGGGGCTGCAAATGAGAAGAGCTTCCACATCCCTTCCCGCTCAGAGCATTCCACAATCCCATGAAGCGCCCCAAACTCCCCTGTGCAGGCAGGATGCACCAGGATCACTTGGGCTGCCGGGTGACGGCGGGGGCGGCAGAGGGGAAACTTCTCTTTCCTCCAGCTTGAACCGTAACCCAACTCCTCCTCCCTCTTCCACATGAGCAGATGGAAAAAGCTCTTGCCAACCTGGCGCTGAGAACGGCCGAAACCAGCGCGGGGGAACCGGCGCTTCCCAAATCCCCGGCCCCTGCCAGCACCTCCGGCGCGCTCAGAGGGGTGTCCCAGGGGCTGCTGGAGCGGGTGAGTAACCCCATCCTGTGCCGTGGGGCTGGGGGCACTGCCCACACCCAGCCCGGGCACTGAGGGTGCTGTGGGTGTCCCGCAGGTGCGGGCGAAGGAGGCGGCGCGGTTGGCGGCGCTGCTGACGCGGGACGCGCGGCAGGAGCAGCGGGATGCGCGGCTGGCGCGGCTGCCGGCCATGGCGCGCGTCCTGCGCAGCGTCTTCGTGGCCGAGAAGAAGGCGGCGCTCAGCATGGAGCTGCTCTGCGCCCGCCTGGCCGACAGCTGCCCCGAGCTGGTGGCACCCGGTAGGGATTGGGGGGTTTGGGGGGTCTCTGCGGGAGGAGGGGGCTGCGGGAAGCTGAGCTCTGATCCCCAGGGTGCTCCTGAGCTCTGATATCCTGGGGTGCTCCTAAGCTCTGATGATCCCCAGGGTGCTCCCGAGCTCTGATCCTGAGCTCTGATCCTGGGGTGCTCCTGAGCTCTGATCCCAGTGTTCCCAAGCTCTGACCCCAGTGCTCCAAAGCTCTGATCCCCGGGGTGCTCCAGAGCTCTGATCCTGGGGTGTTCCCGAGCTCTGATCCCAGTGTTCCCAAGCTCCAATCCCAGTGTGCCTGAGCTCTGATCCCAGGGGTTCTCCTGAGCTCTGATCCCAGTGTTCCCAAGCTCTGACCCCAGTGTCCCTGAGTTCTGATCCCGGTGTTCCCAAGCTCTGATCCCAGGGTGTTCCCAAGCTCCAATCCTGTTGTGCCCCAGCTCTGATCCCAGGGGTTCTCCCGAGCTCTGATCCCAGTGTGTTCCTAAGCTCTGATCCTGGTGTTCCCGAGCTCCAGACTCTGGTGTGCCCCCGAGCTCTGATCCGAGTGCTCTGAGCTCCAGACCCCAGTGTCCCCAAGCTCTGACCCTGAGATCTGATCCCAGTGTTCCCGAGCTCCTGATCCCAGTGTCCTGAGTTCTGATCCTGGTGTTCCAAGCTCCTGATCCCGGTGTTCCCGAGCTCCAATCCCAGTGTGCCTGAGCTCTGATCCCGGTGTTCCCGAGCTCTGACCCCGCTGTGCTCCCGTCCCCAGGTGAGATGGAGAAACACGTGCGGCTCTTCGCGGAGCTGCTGCCCGACTGGGTGGGCATCCACACCCTCAGGACGGACACCTACGTCAAGCTGGACAAGGAGAAGGACCTGGGCCTGGTCACCGAGAGGCTCAACAAGGCGGCCAAGGAGGCCGGAGCCCTCTGAGCCCCTCCGGGGTTGGGGTTTTTCTCTGCAATCTCCTCAAAATGTGGCAAATCCCGACAGCGCTCTGGGTTCTGGGGTGGGCTGGAGGGAGGCTCGTCCTCGGGTGGCTGAGAAAGGGCAAAATGCCTTAATTTAACTAATTTAACTAATTCCTGTGGTGGGAGCTGTGAGGGTTGTAGGTCCCCGTGTCCTTGAGCAATCCGGTGTCCTGGGGTGATGATGAAAGTGACCCTAACCCGAGGAACCTTTTCCCTTTCCTGGTTCTCCTGAAGGTTCAGTGCATGAGGGGTCTCCTGAAGGTCCAATTTCAGAGGTTTCTTCCGTTAACTGGGTCCTGGTGGGGTGAAGGCAGAGAGGGTGACAGGCAGGAAGGAGTGAGAGAAAAAGTCACAAATTGGTGTTTCTGGAGCTTCTGGCCTCGTTCTGTTTTTAAGGGAGGGAAAACGCATCTTGCAGTCCTCGCTGGAAACAACTACAGGACTTGTCAAAACAGATTTGTATTAAATGTTTTAAATATAGTTGACTTGTGTTAACCCAGCGCTCTTCTCGCTGCCTGTCTCGTGGTTCTCCATGGCAATTGGCGCCGGGAAGGGCTGGCTCCTCATCCAGCTCCTGGAGAAAGACTCACTGGAAAAAGTGAGCGTGGGTTTGCAGGGAGCTGAATGCAGCTTTTGTAGATGGGGCTGGGGCAGGCAGGGCTGACGGGGTTTTCTCTCCCAGGGGAAATCCCAAAGCCACTTGGCCCAAGTGGCTTGGGAAGAGGGACAAAGGGTGAGGATGGCTGCAGGGCAGGGCAGGGGTGGGAGCTGCCCAGGGCTGTGTCACACCTCACACTGCTGATGGGGACACCAGGGACCTGCAGGGAACAGCACTCGATCCTTTCATCCTGGGCAGACTCCCTACCTTAGGTGCTGGGCTGGGGTCTTGGCAGCATCTGAGATCCCACAGCATTTCCTGTGGGAGCACGAGGCCTTCCTCTTCCTCCTCCTCCTCCTCCTCCTCCTCCAGGCCCGTGCTTGCCCGGCTCCTGCCGTGCCCTGTTTCCAGGGAGAAGGGATTAAACCCAGTGCAGGGCTGGGTGTGAGGCTGGGGGGACTCCTGGGTGAGGCTGGGGGGACTCCTGGGTGAGGCTGGGGAGACTCCTGGGTGAGGCTGGGGGGACTCCTGGGTGAGGCTGGGCTCTCAGCCGTGCTCGGGGAGGGAGCAGGACTGGAAAGGAGCTGGAGTGAGGAGCAGGATGGAAAGATGCTGGAGTGAGGAGCAGGACTGGAAAGGAGTTGGAGTGAGGAGCAGGACTGGGAAGGAGCTGGAATGAGGAGCAGGATGGAAAGGAGCTGGAGTGAGGAGCAGGATGGAAAGGAGCTGCAGTGAGGAGCAGGACTGGAAAGGAGCTGGAATGAGGAGCAGGACTGGAAAGGAGCTGGAGTGAGGAGCAGGACTGCAAAGGAGCTGCAGTGAGGAGCAGGATGGAAAGCAGCTGGAAGCAGCAGCCACACTCACATCCCATCAAGCTCCCGCTCTGCTCCCCGGGATAAAACCCTTCTCCCACCTGGGAGCTGCTCCTGCCCAGCCTGGCCTCTCCAAGCCGGTGACATCAGGGGCTCTGGCAGCCCAGGCAGGGCCAAGGCAGCGTCCCCACGTTCCCTGATGTCACCTGCTGGCACGGGCAGGGCTGACGCTGCTTCCCCAGCTTGCAGCTGCTTTCCACGGCTCCTGGGCTGGAATGGATTTTCCCCTCTCCCCCGCAGCAGGGACCCTCTCCTGTGCCAAGGCTGGGAGGTGCTGCTGCCCCAGGGTCGTTCCCCAGGGAATTTATAAAACAGAGGGTGGAAATCAGCTGGAATGCTCCTTCCAAGTGGAAGGGCTGGGTGGGGAAGGGGAGCTGAGCTGACCAAGCCTCTCCAGCCAGAGGTGGGTGCAAAGGAAAGAAAAGGTGCCTGAATGCTCCCTGAAAAACAACTCCTAGCATTTGGGGGATAAGGGAGAGCTCACACCACAGCCTGGCCCCACTGATCCCCTGGGGCTGCAGGGAGACACTCCCAAGGGTCATTCACAGCAAGAACAGCTCTGAGACAGCTTAGGAAATATAAAAATACATCAATATTTATTTTACCTGTGAGTCCAGTCCCTGCTGGGCCAGGGACACAGTCCCTGATGTTTTCAGGCTTGTGGAAGTTTGGCACACAGGGGTTTAGCTGTGACCAAACTGAACCGTGCTGGAGAAGCATCTCCAAACCCCCCTCCCACACCTGAGAGCACTGCAACACCTCTGCTGTGGCCTCAGCTGGCACCGAGGGCAGGCTCTGAGCTGGAAGCAGCCTGATGGCCCCCACCAGCCCAGCAGAGGGGAAGCAGCAGCACAGGAGGGGCTTGTGGTGCAGGAGATGGGGAATTCTGGCTGAACAAAAGGTGCCTGTGGTCTCCAGGGAAGGAAAACACTGACTGGGCTCACCCCACACCAGCACCATCCTGATCTAAGGACACAGCAGGCACTTCATTCACCTCAACAAGCACAGCCCTGGTCTAACAGCAACTTGTTCTGGGGTGAGTGACAGCCCGGAGCAGCCAGCCCATCCCGAGGTCAAATTCAGCAGGATTTATCCCTCGCAGAAATAATTGCTTTTTGCCCATCTCCTGTGCTTCTTTGGGAATTTTTTAGCAGGTTCCTTGGAGGCTGACAGGCCCAGCCCAGGGAATGCTGGTGCCCTGTCAGAGCTCTCCTGCCTCAGCAGCAATGTCATCACTTTGGTCTCCTAAAAACCACAGATTCGGTGAAGATACATCTTGGTCTCCCTCCCCCCCCCCAGTCAATCATCCTGTTCCTTCTTTCTAAAAGGATGAACTCCAAAAAGGGATCATTACACTCAACACGGTGCCTGGGAAATATAGGATTGAAGAGCATCTGGCCATGCTGTGTTTAACCCCCTTGCCCACCCCCCTGTGACATCCAGAGTCACTACAAAAAGCCCCAGATTTGTTCCCAGTGCTCCCTCCTCCCTGCTGCTCCTCAGTCATACTGCAGCAGGGAGTAGAAAGGGATGGAATTCAGCTTTTCTGACCCTTTCAGGGCTTTCAGCTCTATGATCACCAGGCACCCCAGGACTTCAGCCTTCAGCCTCTTCAGCAGCTCGCAGGCAGCACGCATGGTACCTGTGGAGGGGAGCAAAACATCCTCACTCCTGGGGCAGCTCCAGCCCCACAGCCACCCCTGTGCTGCCAGGCTGTGCCCAAAGCCAGGCTGGACAGGACTTGGTGCAACCTGGGCTAGCAGGAGGTGTCCCTGCCCACGGCAGGGTGGGACTGGGTGGGATTTATCCAAAACACACGGGTGTCACACGTGCTTCCCTCACCTCCAGTTGCCAGCAGGTCATCCACAATCAGCACTTTCTGTCCTGCTTCCACAGCATCGCTCTGGATTTCCAGCTCGGCCTGCAGGGAGCAAAGAGCAGCTTTGTTTTAGTCTGGCCTTAGAGAGAAACCCCTCGTGGAGCTGCTGGTTCAAGTCCTCAGCGACATCAGCCTAAACTCAGCACCTAAAATCCCAAAACCCCACAAATTCCAGCTACAGGGGAACGCCACAGAAGCGCAGAGCAGGGAGGGGATTGCTGTGGCACGCCAAGCTCCTGAACTCTCATCCTGTGAGTTATGGTGGAATTTCTCCAGCGAGGAAAATCTCGCTGCGATCCTCACAGCGAGGAAAATCTCTCATCACACACCGAGGAGCTCTGCCCAGAGCCAGATCCAAGCTGGCACCTGTCTGGATGTGCCACACCAGCTCGGTTGGCCCAAATCCTCGTGGCTCAGGCCTGGCTCTGGGGGCTCTGGGGCTGTTAGTTCCAGCAGGAGCAGCACGGGGCGAGGCTCAGCAGGGTGATGCTCGCAGCAGGGGCACGGGGCAGGATGGGGGAAGCCATGTGGGGCTGCTCTGACTTACAGCACTGACTGCCACGCTGGGGGACACTCTCCGTGGCTGTGCCCCTGAATTCAAGCCAAAGAAAGCCATTTAGCACCCAGCCCGAGCACCAGCCCCGAGGAGAACCGCGGCACAGCACCCAACATCACCCGCGGGCACGAACCTGGCACCTCCCGGGGCTTGTGCCAGGTTCTCCACGGCAGCAGAACCCGGCTGGGACCCCCTCCCCAGGGGTTTTAGCCCCCCAGCCGCAGCCCCTGCCGCCCCCAGGGCTCACCCTGCCGTACTCCAGGCTGTAGGAGATGGACTCGGTGGCACCGGGCAGTTTCCCCTTTTTCCGCACGGGCACGAAGCCGATCCCCAACCTCTGCGCCAGCGGGGTCCCGATCAGGAACCCACGGGAGTCCAGGCCTGGGGGCACAGCAGGAACCAGGAATCACTCACCTTGGAAAAGGCCTCCAAGACCATCAAGCCCATCCATCTGCAGCACTGAGCCACGTCCCCAAGTGCCACATCCATGTATTTTTTGGAACGGTGACTCCACCACTGCCCCGGGCAGCCTGTTCTGATACCCGATCACCCTCTCAGTGAATTAATTTTCCCTCATATCCAACCTAACCCCCCCAGGTGCAACTTGAGGCCTTTTCCTCTTGTCAGAATCGTTTCACTGGGGGAGGGTCTGGGCACAGCCCCTCGGTTTAATCCTCCCATTCTAAAAGCAATTTGCTCTTCAAGTCACATCTGAAGGTAGAAAACACAGCCCACACTCCCGTTCTCACCCAGACGTGCTGCTGCTGGCCCCAGGAGCCCGTTTCCCTCCCCTCTGACCCTTTTCCTTAGAGATAAAGGCAGCAGGGCCCTGGTATCAGTCCTGCCACGCAAGCAGGAGCTCTGCACCTGCGGGCAGACTCCCCTTATCACACCTGGGCCAGGTTTGGTCTGTGCCCCTTTGGCTGTGGGCCAGCCCAAGCAGTGCCCTCCTCAGCACCCTGCCAGGTGAGCTGAGCTGCTCTGGCCATCGAGGAGCTTTGTGCTGGCCTGGAAAGGCTCCCTGAGGAAAAGCAGCAGGGACAGGGCCTGCCTGCCCTGGGGACACTGTGGGCACAGCAGGCTTTGGGTGCCCCCTCCTTTCTGACAGTGAATTGTGGAACTGGCACATCCCACAGCAGCATTTCAGAAACTCACGGGAGGAGGCCAAGGGTAGAAACTGTCCTGGTGTTACCAACTTTCAGGTGATTTTCGTGTCCAAGGGCTACAACATTCCCCCAGGGCCACCCCAAACTTCCCACACCCCGGCTCTACCCTGGCCTCGGGGATGTCCAACCAACACTCACCCACAACAAAGTCGATTTTAGGGAAAGACGCCCTCACATGATCCTCCAGAAGATCAATCAAAGTCCTGAAGGCCACAGGATCCTTCAGCAAGGGGCTGATGTCGCTGCAATGAGGGAGGGCAGGGCATGAGGGAAACCTGTGGGGCTGCTCTGGAAACGGGGAGATCCTAAACCCAGGGGAGGGTCCCAAACCCAGGGGAGGGTCCCGAACCCAGGGGAGGGTCCCGAACCCAGGGGAGGCTCCAGAGCCCAGGGAAGGCTCAAGAATCTGGGAAAGGCTCCAGAACCCAAGGAAGGTTCCTGAGCCCAGGAAAGGCTCCAGAACCCAGGGAAGGTTCCTGAGCCCGGGGAAGGTTCCCAAACCCGGGGAAGGCTCCTGAGCCTGGAGAAGGTTCCGGAGCCCAGGGGAAGCTCCTGAGCCCAGGGAAGGTTCCCGAACCTGGGGAAAGCTCCCAAATCCAGGGAAGGTTCCCAAACCCGGGGAAGGCTCCTGAGCCTGGGGAAGGTTCCTGAACCCGGGGAAAGCTCCCGAACCTGGGGAAGCTCCAGAGCCCGGGGAAGGCTCCCGAGCCCAGGGAAGGTTCCTGAGCCCAGGGAAGGCTCCAGAACCCGGGGAAGGCTCCAGAACCCGGGGAAGGCTCCAGAACCCAAGGAAGGTTCCTGAGCCCAGGGAAGGGTCCTGAACCCAGGGAAGGCTCCAGAACCCAGGGAAGGCTCCAGAACGAGAAGCTTTCGAACCCGGGGGAGGCTCCAGAACCTGGGGAAGGTTCTGGAGCCCAGGGGAGGCTCCTGAGCCCGGGGGAGGTTCCGGAGCCCAGGGGAGGCTCCTGCCCGGTGCTGCCGGGGCCAGGGATGGGCAGCGAGTCCCCGGCCCGGCTCCAGCCCTGCTGCCATCCCCATCCCTGGTCCCAAGCCCGGCTCTGGCTCCCTCCCCGCTCCCGCTCCCGTGCCGGTGCCGGTCCCGCCGCACCGGAACAGCACGCCGGGCTGCGGGAAGTCCGGGAAGGAGCGGACGCGGTCGCGCACCGCCCGCAGCCGCCCGTCGCTCATGGCGGCCCCGCCGTGCGCAGCCGCCGCAGCCCCGGTAGGGCCGGGCGGGGCGGGGCGGGGCGGCTCCGCCCGCCGGGGCGGCACCGGTAGGGCGGCACCGGTAGGGCGGCACCGGTAGGGCGGCACCGGGCGGCTCCGCACCGGGCGGGCACCGGGCGTGCGGCGGCGCTGCTCGGGGGACGTGCGGATGAGGCGCCTCGGGGTGTGGAGCATCCGTGCCCCCCGTGTTTGGAGCTCTGGTATCCCGGAGCGTTTAGCATCAGTTCCCCGGTGTTTGGAGCTCCGGTACCCCGAGATATGGACCTCCATTATCCCGGAGTGTTGAGCATCAATCCCCCGGTGTTTGGAGCTCTGGTACCCCGGGTTGTGGAGCCCCGGTATCCTGGAACATTGAGCATCCTTACCCCCGGTGTTTGGAGCTCCGGTACCTTGGGGCATTGAGCATCAATCCCCCGGTATTTGGAGCTCTGGTACCCCGGGTTGTGGAGCCCCGGTATCCTGGAACATTGAGCATCCGTCCCCCGGTGTTTGGAGCTGCAGTATCCCAGAGCGTTTAGCTTCTGTCCCCCCGGTGTTTGGACCTCCGGTATCCCGGAGCGTTGAGCATCAGTCCATCGGTGTTTGGAGCTCCGGTACCCCGGGATGTGGAGCTCCCTTATCCTGGAGCATTGAGCATCAGTCCCCCCGGTGTTTGGAGCTCTGGTACCCCGGAACATTGAGCATCATTCCCCCTGGTGTTTGGAGCTCCAGTACCCTGGGGCATTGAGCATCAATCCCCCCGGTGTTTGGAGCTCCGGTACCCCGGAGCGTTTAGCTTCAGTCCCCCCGGTGTTTGGACCTCCAGTAGCCTGGAGCGTTGAGCCCCAGTGCCCCGGTGTTTGGAGCTCCGGTACCCCGGGATATGGAGCTCCCTTATCCTGGACATTGAGCCCCAGTCCCCTCAGTATTTGGAGTTCAGGTACCCTGGGACATTGAGCATCAGTCCCCCCAGTATTTGGCACTCCGGTACCCCGGAGCGTTGAGCCCCAATCCCCTCAGTATTTGGGGCTCCGGTATCCCAGGCCACTGGAGCCCCAGGCCCCCATATTCGGAGCTCTGGGATGCTGGAGCACGGAGCATTGCCCCCCAGGCACACGGAGCTCTGGTGTCCCAAATTCCCGGTGTACAGAGGTCTGATACCCCAGACATGGATTATCCCAGAGCCCCCAGCCCCACATGAAGGTGTGGTACCCCAGGACATGAGGCACTGATACCCTCGGTGTGTGGAGGCCTGACACTGTAAACAGAGCCCAAATCCCTGTGTGCATGGAGCTCTGATAACCCTGGTGCATGCAGCTGCAGTTCCCAGGGACATGGAGCCCTGGCACCTTGGCACGTGGAGCTGCAGTTCCCAGAGGCATGGAGCCCTGGCACCTTGGCACATGGAGCTGCAATTCCCAGGGACACTGAGCTGCAATTCCCAGGGACATTGAGATGCAATTCCCAAGGACATGGAGCTCTGGCACCTTGGCACGTGGAGCTGCAGTTCCCAGGGGCATGGAGCCCTGGCACCTTGGCACGTGGAGATGCAATTCCCAGGGATATGGAGCCCTGGCACCTTGGCACGTGGAGCTGCAGTTCCCAGGGCCATGGAGCCCTGGCACAGCCCCAGGCTCCCCTCTGAAGAGCTCACAGGTACCTGCTCCGTGTGCAGCTGGATGTCCCTGCCTGGCCCCAGCCCCAGAAAGGAGCTCCCTGCCTGGGGGTTTCATTTCCATCACCCTGCCAGCCTTCCACAGACAGCAAACTCCTCAGACTTCACTGTTTCCTGCTTTCCCATCCCTCATCACCTCGTGTGAACTCCTGGAGTCATTCTGTGTTTGTTAAACCCGTTGGTTGGGATCAGGGACAATAACACAGCCCCAGGTCCGGACTAACAGCTCCTGGTGGCACCGAGCCCTGGGCAGGGCAGGGAGCTCCCACAGCTCCCATCTCCTGCTGGTCAATGTTGTTTGGCCGTGCAAAATCCACCAAATGAGTTCAGTTCTCCTGTTCCATTAGCAAATCCACCTTGGATCTGCTCCAAACCCGGCCAGGCACAGCTCGCTGTGGAAAGCAGAAGTGGTTGGAGCTGTAACAGCCCTGGCTGAGCTCAGCGTTTGCTGCTGAGAGCTGTGACCAGGAAAACGTCACCCACACCCTCTGGAGAGCCCCTGCCATGGCAGGGACACCTTCCACTAGCCCAAGGTGCTCCAAGCTCCTTCCAGCCTGGCCTTGGGCACTGCCATGGGCAGCCACAGCTGCTCTGGGCACCTGTGCCAGGGCCTGCCCATCCTCACAGGAGGAATTTCTCCCTAATATCCCATCTAACCCTGCCCTCTGGGGAAGTCATTCCCCCTCACCCTGTTCCTTGTCCCCAGTCCCTCTCCAGCTCTCTCAGAGCCCTCAGGTCCCCCTGGAGCCTCCCCTTCCCCAGGCTGCACAACCCCAGCTCCGGTTAAGGTTAACTCCCTCTGCTGCCAGAGACAGCCCGTGCTCCCTTCCCAACCATTCCCCCACAAAGTAAGATTTTCCCTGCACTCAGATCATCTCTTTGGCACCAGAAGGATCCTCTGGGGCAGCTGATCCAGGGAAGCAAGGAGGGAGGGAGGGAGGGAGGACAGGGAGCCAGTGGAGCCAGGCTCTCCTGCCTGGGCTGGATCCTTCCTCTGATGACCTTACAAGCACAGCACTGGACAAGGAGCTGCTCCAGCAACTCCTCTTCTTCCTGGCAGATGGAATTGCTGATGGAATTTATCTGCCTACTCGTGGAAATAAATAAGCAGGAGCTTATTTCCTGGGAAAAAGGATCTTTTCAGCCAGCCAGGCAGCTCTGCTGCTGCCTCTCACTAACAGAGGGGCCGGAACAGGGGGTCTGTGTCACCCCTGTCCTGTTTGTGACCCCCCCACGGTCCCACCGAGTGTTCCTGGAGGCTGAGTGAGGTTCCCAAGCCCCTCACCAAACCTTCAGCAGGATGAGCTGCTGAGTGCCCCCACTGCTCCACCCCACAGCCAGGGATCTCTCCTCCTCCTGGGATGTGGGATCAGCTCTGTCCCCATCAGTTCTGCCGGGAAGGGCACAAAGGATACACCAAACTGGACCTGCAGTGAGCAGCTGCCAGAAATCGCGGTTAAAAGACAACATTCCTGAGATTCCTGTCTGAACTCCTCATTTACCCCCATCTCCAAAGATTCCAGCTGCACCCACCGGCACAGACTGGACTGGAACACCCCAAGGAAATCAGTTTTCCCTGCGATTGTTCCACCTTTCAAACAACCCTGCTGACTCCTACTGCAATTTCCATCTGCAAAGAACTTTCCTAGGACCCCTTTCCAAATGTGATGTCAAAGGGCTCTGGAATATCACCGGGAGGTGACTCCACATCCGCTCGTGGCTTCGAGCTGCTCTGTGCCTGGCAAAGGAATTATCACCAGGAATTGCCCCAGGGAACGCTGGCTTTGCCTCTTTTCTGGACACCGAGGCCATCAGTGATTTAAAAGTACTTTTAGATCCTGATAGGAGAGGTGTTATGAGCCAGGGAGCAGAGGAACTGGGAATACAAAAGCTTGGGAACTAATTTTAATCAGCTTAACCAGGCAATTAAAGAGCTGTGCTGAGCCTGGAAGTTTCTGTTTGTTCAGGATTTTAACACTTCAGTGTGAAGTGGAACAAAATGCCCCAAATTTCAACATCCCCCTTGCAAGAGGGAAAACAAGCACAAAAATTTCCCTGCAAATCCACTGGAATGTTTCGTTTCAGTCTCAGCTGAGGAAACTCATGCACTTTAAACCCTTTAAAAAAAACCCCAAAAAACCAACAAAAAAAAACCAACCCAACAAATGTGAAATATCTTATTTCAACACCAGAAGAATGCAGCTCCCCAGCCAGATCCCTGGGCTTGGGATGGAAGCCTCGGACCTGGTTTTGTCCCCCTAAAAGAGGGAAAAGTGATCCAGCTGTGCCTCCCTGCCCGCTGCACAGGTTGGATCAGGCCCTTGGAGAAGACACAGAACTCCTCTCCCTGCCCTGGCCAGCCTGGCTTTGGGTCTGATCCAGCAGGAATGGATTTGACTGGCATTCCTCCTCGCTGCTGCCTTTTATCTGCTCTCCCTTTCAGCTGGAATTGTGCTCCCAAGCTCCTGTCACCCAGAGGGTGTTAAGGGACTCCAAGAGGGACAAAGGCCCCCAGAGCTGCCAGACTGCCTCTCTGCAGAAGCTGGAAGGCAGAGGTTTTTATTCCCTCCTAAAAGACCAAAAGCTTCTGGCTACGGATCCACCTTTATTTAGGATTTATATAATCCCAACTAGACTGCAAGCAACAACAAAACTTTAAACGGTGGAAGGGGATATAAAGAAAACAGGCAAATGGAGCCTTGGTGTTTCAAATAGCCATTTTCCAAAGGAGAAAAGAACCTAAAATGGGATTTCAGTTCTTCCCTTACAGCTGTTCTTAAAATTTGACAGTTTAATTCAAGGGGCACCACAGTGTTGCCTCCTGATAACATAGAAAAACATCCAGTGCTACCAGAAAACAAAAGGAAAAGTCGATTTCCAAGTATTCTAACTGCTAGGAGAGATGGAAAACAGGCCATTCGAACTGCAGAACAGCTATTTGGAAGCTGAACAAGCAAAGGAACTCTTAAGAGAATAAAAGTGTGTTTAGTTTGTCAAGTTTCCCAGTGCTGAGGACAAGGGCAGGATCCCTGGGGAGGGATTTCTCTGCTGGCTGTGCTCCAGAGGCTGCTGGGGGCTCTGCAGCCAAAATTCACCTCCCAGCACCCCAAACCTTCCTCCCTCACAAACTCCATTCAGTTCTCACCTTCCACGGGTCCTTCCTCATTCTGGAATTCTTTCATGGGGTTATTTCAAAGCTGTTGTCACTGGGGAAAATAATGAGTCCCCAACCTTGAGGAGACCTTTATGTGAAAGCAGGAATTTTGGGATGCTGTCCGTGATGTCTGGGAAGGGCTGGAGGTGACAGGTATGGAAATGCCACTGCCACTGCTGTCCCAAGTCCCACAGCCTCCTTCTTGGAGATATCAGTTCCACTTCTTTTAGTCAAATCCCACTGCCCCACAACAGCCCCCAGGTTTTACCAGCAAATCCATGGGACTGTCCCTCACTTCCCTTGTTCCAGAGCTCCTGATTTTCCCTTTGGCACATTCCCCAGGCTCCCCTCAGCCAGGCAGGGCTGTGTTCTCCTCACTGCTGCTCTCAGGGCAGTTTGCAGGGCATTCACCTTGGCTCCACGTGTTGGGAATCGATCTGCTGCTTCCCAGTTCCAGCATTCAGCTCCCCAAATTGTTGATCCCCAGGGACCAATTTGCCACTGAAATAATCCATTTGTCGCTGCAGGATTTGAAATCAAGGCTCCACTGCTGCAGCCAGAGCCTGGAACAGCAGCCGGAGTTCTTCCAGGATTATTAGTTCCATCCATTTCAGAAGCTCCTCTGCACAGAGGGTGGGATGATAACAGAGCCTCAGGGGCAGAGCTGGGAGGCTTGAGAGGCTCAGCTAATTGGAAATTAAAGACAAGAAAGAAATTCTTCGGACTCTTGGGCCAGGAAGATATTGAGCTTTTAGCATTCAGCATAATAAACACAGAGAAAGGAGCATCACAGCCCTAAACTCCAACATTCCTTTGGCATCTCTGTCTCCTAGCTTGAGAACAGGAGCCACCAGCAGACCAGTTTGGCTGCTGCAGGAGCCTGAGCGGGCAGGAAATCCTCCAGCCCCACTCCTGCCCCAGTTCCCGAGCTGGGCAGCTTCAGGCCAGAGCTCAGGGTGGGTTTTAAGGATGGTTTTTAAGGGCAGATGTGGCCCAAGTGGGCAGTGGGGGCTGCAGGCACCATCCCCACCCCTGTGCTGGCCCTGGTTCCCCCCCAGCCTCTGAACTGCACCGTGTGGGCTGGGAGATTGATCCGTGGTAAAAATAATTCCAGGAAAACAAACCAAGTTATTTTTAAGCCCAGTCAGTCAGTCCCATGATCCAGGGGCGGATCTGGGACAGTGCCCCAAAGCAAGGCGTTACTCCCTTGGCTTACAGGTGAAGTCACAGACTGCATTGCTGATCAATTCGTTTATTTTTCCTCATTAGTTCTTCACCTCACAACTTTTAAATCTGTACAATTTTAGGAAAGGCATTCATTTAAAATTCCTCCTATTATCCAGCTGTAAAACAACTATTCCTATTTAAATTTAAAGCAGAAGCTTTGTCACGTTAAACCCTGATTATTTATTATCTGCTACGTGTCCTTTTATTCTAAACAGACACGTCATGGCTTCACTTACTTGCTTTCAAGTGCAAAATTTCCCTCCAGGATCTGTGTCCTGAGAGTACTCCAGGAATGAGGAATGAGGGTTTGCTGTGCTGGGAGGGGGGACAAACCCCGAGGCTGCTCAGAGCAAGTTCCAGGGGCAAAGCAGGATCTTCCAAAGGGCAGCTGTGAAAGAGAAGAGATGAGAACAGCAGCAGGCAGGGACAGGAGGAGGTGTCAGAGCAAATCCTGGGGGCTGAGCAGCGTGGCCAGGCCAGGGCCCAGCTCTGATCCTGGGGGAGCACAAAACTCACCAAGTGCTGTTAGCTCACAAGCTCTGAGGGCTGCCAGGATTGCCAGGGAGCTGCAGCCATGGACTCCCTCCTCTGGTGGAGTTTTACACGTTTTACAGTGTAAAAGTTTTACAAGTTCTGCAGGGCTCTGACAGTTCCAGTCACAGAGCTGTGGAATCAAAGTCACCGAGCTTGGAAAATCCCAGAACTCAAAATGTCCCTCAGACATTTTCAGAGGTTCCAGGCCTTGGTCAGAAGCATTTTAGACCCTGGCAAGCAGCTGGAAACAGCTGTGATTTTGGGTTTGAGCCATGGAATGAGTTACCAGCTTTGAAGGTGGAACAAGTGGTCACAGAGGGTTCGATGGTGTAGTAAAAGTAATTACAAATTAGAGGGGAAAATTTTTTAGTATTGTACAGGGGGGTTTTAACACCTGTACAGGGGGTTTTACTTTGTACAGGGGGGTCAGAGGTTCTAAGATGGAGGAAAGTGGGCCTGATCCTGTTCTTCCTCCTTCTTCTTCCTTGCCTCCATGTTCTTGGTGATGTTGGCACTCACAGATTGGTTTAGAGTAGAAAAGCACATTGTAACATAGGTAGTAGGTATTGGGGAAAATCTGTAAATATGTAATATGTAATATATCATATAAAAGATAGCAGCAGCCCTGGGTGGGGAGAGAAGAAGACAGCAGGCAGTGAGGGTGTCAGGAGTGTGTGAGTCTCTGCCTGAGCTGTGAGCAAACCACAGCAGCCCCAGAAGAAAATCTTTTAGATAACTTGCAATAAACTGACTTGAAACCCAACAACAAGAGGCTGCAGAGTTTTTCTTTGGAAGCACAGGTTGGAGGAGAGACTTTACCACCACACGAGGCCCCTGAATCAATCCCGGGGTTCTCACAGGAAAACACCTCGGAGATCATCGAGTCCAGCCCTCAGCAGCACCACCACGGCCACCCCAGGGCCACATCCTCGTGGTTTTCAACATTTCCAGGGGTGGGCATATCACCCTGTGCCAATGCTTTTCACCCTTTCCATGAAGAAAATTCCCTGATATTCAACCTGACCCTCCCCTGGCACAACTCTCCTCCTGTCCCTGTTCTAGACTCTGTCCCCTCCTGGCAGGAGCTGTGCAGAGCCACCAGCTCCCCCCTGAGCCTCCTTTTCTCCAGGCTGAGCCCCTTCCCAGCTCCCTCAGCCCCTCCCCAGCTCCATTCCTTCCTCTGGGCATGGAGAAGCCCTAAAGCACAGGTGGAGCAGCCCCAGCAAATTGGGAATTCCTGGTTTTATCTGGTCTCCTGTGCTGACAGACCCACAACTGCTCCCTGAGCTCACCCTGAGGGAGCTGCTGGCCACATCTCCCAAGCCTTGAGCTGTGTCCAAACAAGGAGGAATGTTATGGATGAGCTGGAAATGCAGTGATACACTTGAAGGAGGATTAGGAACATCCTAAGAAATGTGGTCTATAAACAAATGTCACTTGCAGATGTGCAGGGATCCCTGAAACGCTGGCTGGGATTTCTGAGAGGTGCAACAGCAAGAGCTGACCCAAGTGCTGATCTTATTCCAGTTTAATGGGATTATCCAGCTTCAGCAGACACACACCAGAATTCCCGTGGAGGGGATTACAGGTACATAAACCATGGGATGGGGGAATGGGAGTGTTTGGGATTACAGGAGGGTGGGACAAGCAGCTGAGAGCACCAGAGCAGAGCTCTCAAGCAGCCCCAAGCTTAGCTGGGGAGGAATTTGAGCTGTTCCCAGGTACAGAGCACTGGATTTTCCTAAGGCAGCACAACATCACACAGACAGGGCACGTGTACTGTGGAAAACACTGGAGGGGTGGAAGCAGAGCTGGTGGTGGGACAAATGGAGAATCATGGAATGGTTTGAGTGGGAAGGGATCTAAAAACTCATCCTGCTCCAGCTGCCATGGGCAGGGACACCTTCCACTATCCCAGGCTGCTCCAAGCCTCTCTGGGCACCCTGTGCCAGGGCCTCCCCACCCTCACAGGGAACAATTCCTTCCTTACATCCAACCTAAGCTTCCCCTCTCTCAGTCTGAACCCAAACACGCTCAGCTGCTGCCCTGAAGGCCCAGAGGAGGCTGGTTTTGCTGCAGCCAGGTTTATTGGAGACAGGGAAGGGTGTGGAACAGGCTCCAAGGCAGAGCAGGGATCTGCCCTGCAGGATTGAGCAGAGGCTCTGTGTTCCCCAGGAACTCTGGCTAAAGGAGAGCTACAGACAGGCTGGGGAAGGTTTGCACAAGGAGAATTCCTCGGAGAGTGGCTGGAAACGGGGTCAGGAGTTAAGGGCTGATGCCAAAGGGGCATTTCTGAGCCTGCACTTGGCTGGGCCCAGAGCACGAGATGGGAAGTGTGGCTTGGCCCAGCCTTAGGCCCAGATTTTTGGAAATTAAGGAAAGCCCCAAAATGAACACCTGACCCCCAGCTCCCCACAAATGTCCTGCACCAACATTGGCAATAGAATCCTGGAATGGTCTGGGCTGGAAAAGACCTGGAAGCTCATCCAGTGCAATCCCACTTCCACTGTCCCAGGCTGCCCCAAGCCCTGCCCAAGCTGGCCTTGGACACTTCCAGGGATCCAGGGGCAGCCTCAGCTGCTCTGGGAACCTGTGCCATGGCCTCAGCACTCCTACAAGGAAGAATTCCTCTCCAATATCCCATCTCTCCCTGCCCTTGGGCAGTGGAAGCCATTCCCTGTGTCCTGGCACTCCAGGCCCTTTCCCAAAGTCCCTCTCCAGCTCTCCTGGAGCCCCTTCAGGCACTGGCAGGGGCTGTAACCCCAATCCAACACTTACCTGAGGACAATCCCCACCTTTCCTTAAACCACGACCTAGGACCTAGGGAATGTTTGCAGCTACACATGGAAGGAATTCAGGGCATTCTCCTCAGTTCCAAACCCCTCAGCTGTGAGCAGGAGGGATCCCTGGTTTGCACCCAGAGCTCACAGATTTGGGGAGAAAGGAAAAACAAGCTGATGTGCAGAGTTCACAGTGGGAATCAAATGTTAAAACAACAAGCTACAGGCAAACAAAACATGGGCAGTTTGGGCAGGGCTCTCTGGCAGCTCCGAGTTTCCTGACCTGTCCCGTGGCTCCTGCTGGGGCATCCCAGTGAGCAAGGCTGGGTGGAAGGAGCAGCAGTGATCCACAGCATTTTGGAGCTGATGGCAGAGTCGTGGCTGTCCAGAAAGATTTCACAGCTGACCCAGTCCTCACTGGAGTTACCATTTAGGGAAAGAACTGGGGGAAGAGAGGAGTAGAGGCTGAACCCTGAGCACGAGGAATATAAACACTGTCCCTTTTGGAAGAGCAAGTGATGATATCACGCACACATCACACCCTTCCTGTGTAAACAGGAGTGCCAGCAGGAGCAGGCACTGGAAATGGCATGTCCAGCTGCCTCTGGGTAGCTCTGGAGGGCTGCAGCCATCAGTGAGGCCAAGAGCATTTCTTAGGATCCGATTCTGGTGCTTTCAGGCACTTCCCAAGCTTCTCGCAGCCTGGAGGTGACCAATTCTGTTAAAAACAAACAGAAACAGACAGAACGATGATTCACACCGAGTATCTGCTGAGCTCTCACCCCAACCAGCTCTTTATGATCCTCACAAAGACACTTTTATGTGCTGCTTGAAAAATGAAACTCCTCTTGCAGCCGAAGCCTCTGGGCTCATAAACTTCCCCACTCCAAACAGCGCTGAAATAAAAGCTGGGAAAGGCTACAAATGCTGTGCAGCAGATGATTCCCTCTCCTGGGACACGCCAGTCCTTCCTGGCCTCTCCCACCCAGCTTGCTGGATGCTGGTGACCCTCCTCTCCCTCCTGTGGCAGCTCAGAGCAGCCACACCAGGAGGTTTTGGTGACACTTTTCCTGGCATTCCAGGGGAGTTCCCACTCTCAGCACTGCAATATCCAGGCAGTGTCCTGAGGAAGCAAAAGGCAGCAGAAGGGTGTGAGAGAGATAAGAATGCTGGTATTTGAATGAGCATTTTGCTGGATGGATCCATGGGCACGTGGAGCAGGAGGCATTCCTGAGACACCTCTTCCAGTGCCTGCACACCTAAACTGTTTGTTTTCCCTGTTTCCACGTTTCTTGAGCTACCTGCATGTGGAGAACAGAAAAAGGAGATCCACGGCCAACCTCAGCTTCCAGAGGGATTAATGGAGGAAGGAATTTGGGTAAATGAACGTTTTTAATTTCACTGAGGTTTTGCCATTTAAAATGTGGGATTGTGGTCATGGGAAGGGCAGATAACAATTCCCACTCTGCCTTCAGGAATCTTCTGTGCTTCCCTCTCTCAGGTCTGTCCATCCACGGGACATTCCTGCTGTCCCCTGTTAAAGGGAAGTTCAACACTGACCTCCTGCCTTTCATTTTGCCGATTTTCACCCTGCAAGTATTTATGTTTTCTTGGAATTGAATTCCTATGGAAATGTTTAACCCCTGGAAAAAAAAACCCCACTGGAGCAGGTTTTTGTTCCATGGAGCTGACAACAGATGGCAGTGAGACACCAGCAATTCCTGCAGAGCAGCAGACACAGAGGGAGCTGTGCTGAAGGCACCTCTGCACCGGGGGCTCCACAGGCCTTCAGAACAATTAATGGCGTTTCCTAAATCTGTTCCTCTGCTTTAAAATGTGCAGCCACGGCTGGAAAATGCAGAGCACTCTGCAGAAGGAGCTGAGAGCCAAAGGAACAGATGAAATGAAATGTTTGTTCTTTTGAAAAAGCAGAACAATCAAGGGTCTGTGCTGCACTCCTGCTGGGCTGTGCTGCAGCCCTGGGGACAGCACAGAGCCAGGCCAGCCCCGAGCTGCAGAACAGCTTCTCCCACACTTGCAGAGCAGGAAAAGCCAGCAGAGCTGCCTCTGGGGGAGCTCCCCAGACCAGCACAGATCGGCTGCAAACACCTCCCCTGCTCCTTCCATCGCTGCTCTGCAGGAGCTGCACAAGGATCCATCTGCTGCCCTGCAATCCTGCAATGGCTGCGTGGGAAGGGACCTCAAACTCACCCAGTGCCACCCCTGCCATGGCAGGGACACCTTCCACTGTCCCAGGCTGCTCCAATCCCAGTGTCCAGCCTGGCCTTGGGCACTTCCACATGGGCACCCTGTGCCAGGCCTGCCCACCCTCCCAGGGAACAAATCCTGCCCAAAATCCCATCTAACCCTGCCCCTTGGCAGTGGGAACCATTCCCTGTGTCGTGTCCCTCCGTGGCCTTGGACACTTCCTTGAACATTTCCACACACTTTGTTTGTGTGAAAGTAAAGACAATTCTCCTTCTCTCTCCCAAACACATCAAACAAAAACCTTTATCAAATAAACAGGTGGCAGGAGATAGTGTCAGTAAATTATCTGTATCTCCAGCATCCCCCAAAACCAGATTTAGCCCCCAGTCCACCCCAGCAATATAATCATTCCCTGAAGGTTTGCTTATCTTCATTTCTGGTCTCCAAAGGCAGCAAGCTGCTGCCTGG